ATCAGGAGGATCGCAGTTCAAAGCCAGCCCAGGCAAATAGCTCACAAGACCTTATCTTGAAAAAACCCAATCACAAAAAAGGTCTGGTGAGGTAGCTCAAGGTGTAGGCCCTGAGTTCAAGCCCCAGTACCACCAAAAAAAAAAAAAAAAAAGGCTATCCTACCAAAAGCAATCTACAGATTCAGGGCAATCCCTATCAAAATTTCATTGTCATCCTTCACAGAAATAGAAATATCAATGCTAAAATTAATTTGGAAGTACAAAAGACCCCAAATAGCCAAATCAATACCAAAAGAACAATGTTGGAGGTGACTTCATATTATACTAAAGAGCTATAGAAATAAAAGCAGCATGATACTGCCACAAAAAACAGACAAGGATGCCAAAAGAATAGAATGGACAACCCAAAAATAACCCCACAGCTATAGCCATCTGATTTTCAATGACAGCACCAAAAGCATATGTTAGAGAAAAGACATCTCTTTAACAAATGCTGTCAAAATTACATATCTACATGTAAAAGATTGAAATGAGACCTTTATTTCACCCTGTACAAAAATCAATTCAAAATAGATCAAAGATCTTAACACAAGACCTGAAACTTTGAAACTGCTAAAGAAAAACATAGAAAAAAACCCTTGACATCCTAAAAAGGACTTCAACTGCGCAGGAAATAAGAACAAAAATTGACAAATGGAATTATATCAAAGTAAAAAGCAAAGGATACAATTACCAGAATCAAAAGAAATCCTACATAATGGGAGAAAACCTTTGCCAACCTATTCATCAGATAAAGGATTGATATACAGACTATATAAAGAGCTCCAAAAATAAGACACCAAAAGACCAATCTAATTAATAAATGAGCAAACGAGTAACAATTTTCAAAAGTAGTAGTAAAATGCCCAATAAGTACATGAAGAAATATTCAACATTCTTAGCCATAGAGGAAATGCAAGTCAAAACAACACTGGGGAATGAGAGGGAAGAACAACAGGCTCTGCACCCTGTCCAGGGAAGATGGTGTCCAAATAATGTATACACATGTAAGTAAATGCAGAATTGATGAAAATAAAATTGAAAACAAAAACCACTGGGATTCTATCTCACCCCAGTCAGAATGGCAATTGTCAATAAAACAAACAAAATGCTGGCCAGGATGTGGGAGAAAAGGGAACTGTTGGTGGGAATGTAATTTGTGCAACCCTATGGAAATTAGTATGGCAGTTCCTGAAGAAACTAAAAACAGAATTGCTATATGATTGTTCCATACCACTCCTGAGTATGTTATCGAAAGGAATGTCAGTCAGCACACAATAGATATACCTACACACTCATGTTTATAGTAGCACTATTCACAATAGCCCAGGTGACCATCAACCACTGACTAGATAAAGAAAATGTTAACACACGCACAGTGGCGTTTTATTCAGAAAGAATGAAATTATGTCATCTGCAGGAATGGAACTGGAGATCATATTTAAGCAAAATAAGCCAGATTCACCAAGGTAAGTATCACATGTTCTCTCTCATATGCAGAGTCTAGACCTTAAAAAATGAATGATAGGAGTATAAAATGGGGACTGTTTGGGGTAGCAACAGCAGGACAGGGGAGGGTGAAAGAAGAAAGTGAAGTAGGGGTGATTATGATCAAAGTACTTTATGCAAGTTTATGAAAACAGAAAAATTAAACCTGTTAAAATTGTTTAAAGGGATGGAGAGAAATTAGAGATAAGGGCAGAATAGTTTCTGCTGGGTAGTGAGGTGTAAAGGGGGACAAAAGGGGATAAGGGAGGGGGCAGGAGGAAGGGGGGAGAAATGACCCAAACATTGTATGTACATATGAATAAAATAAATAAATAAATAAATAAAGGGATGGAGGGAATATAAAGAATAATCAAAGGAGTGAATTGGATCAAAGTAAATTATATGTATGGAAATATCACAAGAAACCCCTTTGGACAATTTATATATGCTAATAAAAAATAAAACTATTTTCCTGACTGCACACAATAGGATACATGGTTCCAGATATTTGAGATAAGCTATGAACAAACACAAAAAGAAGCGAGTCCCTTGATCAAGTTTTCCAGGAAAAACAGCTTTCTTAATTCTTAGTCATTTTAATATAAATCTAAGTAAGGCTCTTTTCCCAAACTAGCCTCTCAGTTTCTGAACATCTCCCCTCCCAGGATCTTGCCAGCTACCTCTCCTTGCCCTCAGTAACTCATGCCTACAGTCATATACTACATCTCCACTCAACATTAGATACCCTGAACAACTTAGTGCCATACATTCTCCCCACCGCAACCACAATCTTGCATCCTTCTGGGCCATTCTCTCTAGATCCTAACTCCAATGTCCTTTAACCTGGCTCATACTTCTAATTCAAAGAACCATCTTCCTTCCACTGTGTCTTGAGATTTTTCTGGATGTCCTCTCAACCCTCCTTATCCAGTTTTATGTCTAGATTCATCATCATGATTCTTATATATCCCTCATCCCCCTTGCCCCTTTATATATGCCTGATAAAATCTCTCTACTCACCATATGCCCACACCTATATGGCTGAATGCAGCTGAAGAAACACATAAATAAATGTGTTCACACACATCTTTTAACATACCATATAATTTACTTCTTAATTATATTTATTATTTGTCTCTGATCTCTTCCCACTAGAATGTAAGGCCTCATGGGTCAGGGATTTTTTTTTTTAACTGATCTGTTCGCTTAAATATCCTAGTGACATTGTCTATTCTATAATGGAATTTCACTTGAAATTTGTTCAATGACTGAATAGGAATAAGGGAGAAAAATCAGCTTTCATCTCAACTACCTACATGCCATTTAGACTGAGGAAGACCCAGAAACTTCAGGGCCATATGAGTCATGGCCATGGATGCACTGGCAAGCACCAAAAGCACCCAGAAGGCTGGGGTCAGGCTGATTGTATGCATCACCCTAGGATCAAGTTAAACAAGTATCACCCAGATTACTTTGGGAAAGTTGGTATTAGGCATTACCACTGAAAGAGAAACCAGAGCATCTGTTCAACTATCAACCTTGATAAATTGTGCACATTGGTCAGTGAGCAGACACAGGTAAATGCTGCCAAAAACAAGACTGGAGTTGCCCCCATCATTGATGTGGTGCGATCAGGCTACCACAAAGTTCTGGGGAAGGGAAAACTCCCTAAGTTGCCTGTCAATGAGAAGGTCAAATTCTTCAGCTGAAGAGCTGAGGAAAAGACTGGGGGGTTGAGGGGAGCCTGTGTCCTGGTGGTTTGAAGCTACACAAAGGGAAGTTCATTAAATGCTAATAAGTTTTTTTAAAAAAACAATTGCTGGCAGAGTGGCTTAAGTGGTAGAGTGCCTGCCTAGCAAGTGTGAGGCCCGGAGTTCAAACTTGAGTAACACAATCAATCAATCAATATTTTTAAAAAAGGTTTTAAGGGAGAAAAATAAATAAAATCATTCAAGAAAATCCCCTAGAACTAAGAATAGGAGTTCCTAGAATTGACAGGGGCCAAGCATCACACACAACTTCAAAACTTATCACTGCGAGATTTCAAAACACTAAGAATAAAGAGAACAAGCTGAAGGAGCAGAAAAATACATCACATACAAAGTGTCCTCAGAATTCTCAACAATCTGACTAGAAGACAAAGGACAATGAAGAAATTACTTTTAAAAAATCTGAATGGAGCCAGGCATGGTTGTATACACCTGTGATCCCAGTCTCAGAGAAGATAGATTGGGAGCATAATGTTTTGAGGCCAGCCCATGCAAAAAGTTAGTGAAATCCCATCTCAACCAACCAGCTGAGTATGTTGGAGTATGCCAGTCATCTCAGTGATGTAGGAGGCATAGGAAGGAGGATCGTGGTCTTAGGCTAAACCTGTGCAAAAATGTGAGCCCCTACCTGAAAAACAACTAAAGCATAAAGAACTGGGGAAGAGCTTAAGTGGTAGAGCACCTGCCTAGCAAGCATAAGGCCCTGAGTTCAAACCCCACTACCACAAAAAGGGGGTGAGGGGGTGGGAAATGATTGTAACACAGAATTAAATACCCAGCCCAAACTATTAGTAAAGTAAAAAGGTAAAGTAAAGTAAAAAGGTCTACAAGGTCATGAAAAATTATCAGCCCATACCCTTTCCTCAGAAGTTACTTGAAGACATACCAAAACCAGAGAATGAATAAAGGAGGGAGGAGGGAAAGACTCAGAGAAGGGAACCCAACCCAAATCACAGGCAGAGAAAGCCCCCACACGTGGATAAAGAGTGATCATATCTCCACATGGAAGGAATGAGCCATTAGTTGAGAATGGTCAAGTCAAATGCTCCAAGATTCATCAAGTTGGAACTGAGAGAAACCGGATACTATCAGGAAACCCTGAGTGGGTTGAACCATTGTTTAAAACTGTGACTAAATTATTGATAAACACAAAACCAGGTAAATGCAACAAAGTGAAACAAAGAAAAACTACAATATTAACTTTAGAGAAAACAAGTAATTGTGAAGGAGATAAAAGACACTCTGAAAAGCTCCTAGAATATACCATGGTTACCCTGTGCCCTGATGACATGAACTTCATGAGGCTTGGGAATGGGAAGTGTGCAGGTATGTACAGAGAAGTGCCAATGGAGAATGCCTGAAACAGAACAATCAAGAAGCAACACAAGCATGTTAAACAGACAGTGCACACCAAAGAGTCAGAAAAGGAACTGGATAGAAATGGTTAAGGTAAGGTAGGGAAGCCAGGAGAGCTGACTGCTGTTTTTACAACAAGCTTTGTAGAACTAACTGACTCATTAAAATATATACCCTATAATTATTTTTAAAGGAGTAAGAAACAAGAAAGATGCAAAATGAATCTTTTTATCCTTGAAATCTTTAGTAAGCATATTTCCAATTCCTAATGAACATTCTAATTTACTAACAATTTACCACGTAACTTAGATAAAATTAGTATTTTCCATTGAGAAAAAATGTTTTTACCTGTGATAGTAGCTCTTCCTTCTCTCCAGCAAGTTTTCTTAGCCTTACATCTAAAATAAATGAAATGGACTGTTAACTAAATTTGTGATAGTGCAGTATATAAACAACAAAGTAATTCCTCATGCTCATAAATAGTAAACATTTGGTACATTACTTACTGCTCTGAACATGAAAAGAAATAAAAGCTTTAATTGTATTTGGAAGAGTACTTAATTATCTCAAACATATCATACACTGGCATTTACCAGGGCACTAAATACATTTGCTCCCAAAACAGTGCTTTTCTGCTCAGTGACAAATTCCAGTAAGAAAGAGACCCATTTACTTGTTTCAGATTTTTGCAAGCTTTCACCAGTAGACCCACAACTCAAAGGCCTATGGTATTCCCAAAGACTTAGCCCTTTGAAAGAGAGATCCAAATATGTAAAAGAAAATGGAGTAAGAGCAGGACTGCTGGAGCAAAGAAAACAGAGAAGTACAATGCTGGAGGAAGTCCCACAAAAGCTGGTGGACAGAGGGAAGGACAAAGGCTCTGAGGGTGGAACACAAAGTCACCAAGGCTCCTGGCCCAAAGAGAGGGTTGCTTCTTCCCCAGCAAGCATTAAAATGGGTCCCATGGGTTGAAGAGATATTCTAGTTCAATTAGAGAGGCAGCTGACACCTTGGCCAAATACCCCCATAACCAACGAAGGCCACAGCCCATATCAGTTCTGGTTCTCTCAGCCCTCCTAACAGACAGAGGGACACCATCTGACCACTTCTACTTTCTTACTCAACTGTATCCTGTGCCTCATCAATTTACATTTCTAAAATTCTCCACATTAGAGAATATGCTTACTAACTCTTAAAATGTTTTCAGCTTGTGCCACTCCTACAGGAGTGGGAGGTACACATACATAAAAACAAGATGGAAAAGGAAAAAAGGTTGTTTTCCAGTAACTAAACATAAGCTGATGGTACAGTATCTATCTGGACTATTTTTCTTCCTCTACAGTAGGATTCTTAGTGTGATTTCCTAGAGAGAGGTGTCATTAGATTCTTAAAAGGTCATATTTTAATATGCTTAGAAACCTTGCTCTGGAAGTTACACTCTTCTAAAACTTGTCTTCAAGAACATCTATTTCTTGCCTTAAGAAATGCAATGACACAGAGCTGCACAACCCCGAGATAAGCAGTGGAACACAGAACTAGAAGTTCCAGGAAGAAGAAACTAGAAACATACTGGGAAGTCTCCTACCAACCCAGCTTCTCTGGGATGTAAATGCTAGACTCTCTCTGCAGAAAGTTTAAGTGAAAAGCCGTATGTACATACCTGCAGTGCTTCTGTCAGGGGTTTCTTAGCTATACTTACTGACTGACAATAACTCAGGTGCTGGTTTCTCAAAGGCAAAGATGTCTGAAGACAGTATGTCCAGATTCTTCCTCTTAAGGATCTGGACAGTCTCAAACAGCCATTATGCTGTTTTTATTTTCCAAGTTAGGATATGAACAAGCTGGAAGCCCAATAACATTAATCCAGGACAAAGTAACAGTGTCTTACCTAGTGGCCCTTCTCCTGCTGATTCCAAGACCTGAGCAGCTTCTTGAGACACAACAGTAATGGCTCCAACCATGGGTTCATGATTGACATCACCATTGGGAGTGCCATCAGGGATTATAACTAAGCCATGTTTCTGTAAGAAAGAAAAATCTACCATCAAAAAAGATGGCCTCATGGAAGGAGAAAGTTCTGTGAGGTGACGCTGCAACAACATACACCTGCCACAGGTAAAGCCTAGTTAGAATTAGTTATGTGGAATATACCTCTATGGAAGAAATGATTTAATCCTCCAACTCAAAATGTTTTTTGTATTCAGGCGACAAAAGATGGCAGAATAGAGGAAAGAAGACAGCACAGCAGTGAGGACCTGAGCCCAAGACCCAGGCTAACATACCTCTGCTGTCTTCACTGTCTCCTGCAGGTCAGCCAGCTCCTCTCTGAGCGCATCTCGCTCATTCCTGAGGCAAGCAATGTAGTCTTTCTGTTTCTCTAGGGCCTGATTTTAGGCAGGGTAGCAAGGGAAAGAACAGCACAAAGAAAGAGCAAGTGAAAGGTAACTAATTCAAATAAGCAAAGATAAAGGCTTACAAAGCAAGGAAGCAGTTAGAAGCCTGAGAACAGGCAGATAGGAAAAGAAACAGCTTATGAATGTACAGCTCCAGAAGAGTTTTAATAAAAACTGATTCTCATGCATAAATCTGGCAAAACATGCTTCTCACATCAATAAGACAAGTCTTTCTTTTATAATCAATGAAGAAAACAGGAAAATGAAGAGAGCAGCAAGAGTTAAATTTTCCTTATTAATCAGCTCAATACATTTACATTTGATAAACAAAAAAAACACATTTCATGTTTAAAATACTTTATTCAAGAACACACTTGATTTTAAAAAAATGGCTTTGAAAGAAAACCAGCTAGTATACCTAAGTTATTTTAATTAAATATTGGCTGCATGATTGTTTGCCAAGTAGTATGGCAAAACACTCAGATATCACTTAATCCAAAATAACTAATCTCCAAAGGACTCTCCATGAGTTATTTCTATTAATTTAGTTTAATACAATTAAGTCTCATTTGGTTTTCTATGATATACTTTCAAAAGTGAAAAAAAAAAAAACAATGACAAAATAAACACAGCCTGCCTAATGGAGGATAGTAGCAGATTAAGGATTTCAAAATCTTTTGAGTCCCTGAACATATTTACCTTAACTGGGCCTCAATTTCCTCATGTAAAAACAGAAGGAATAATAGCAGCACCCACCCTACAAGTGAAGGTTTAGAAGAACATAGCATGGAGCATTGTCTCTACTGCCTAAAACAACAGAGGGGTTCAGGAAAAGAAGGCTGTGAATTACCTTCTGTATCTTGAATCACAAATGTAAGCTTGGGAGAACAGTGAGGAGCAGGAACATACTTTGGTTATCAGTAACAAATCAAATCTACTCTCACATTATGTCCACAAGAAAATAAAATAACCCAGACGTTAAAACATTACTACAGTAGTAGTTTATGCAGGAACCTTGACAGATGGGCTATTTCAAAAAGCCTTTCTCTACATATTTTTTTCTTGTATTAAGTATTTTCTGCCACCATTCCCATGAGCCCAAGAAGGTAAATTACAACAGGTAACTTTCATCTCAATTTATTGGGTTTAAAAGTGGGTCAACTGTTTAGTTACTGATGGCTGAATAGTTGGGCAATTAAAAAAATTCATTATCATCTCAGTCTACAACCAAATTGGGAATAAATAAGAGATGACAGCAACTACCACTGTGCAGCGCAAGGTGATATGGCAGGCACCACTTTATATACACAGAATTTCTCCCTTATACATTATTTGTATGTGAAATGTCTCCCTTACACTCTCTAATGTACTAATTATCTTATCCTCACTTTACAGATCAGAAAATTGAAGCTCAAGAGGTTATGATTTTGCTCAATATCACAGTAAGTGGCAAGGCCCAAAACTGAATCTTTTTTTTTGGTTCCAAAGCCCTCACATATAGTTTTTTTATAAAAGATCCAAAGAGACTGCATTCTATGCCTTTACTATCATCCCAGATGATGCTGGAAAAGTAGTCCGTTAAGGCAAGTCTTCTCTTATCCAAATTAAAATGTCAATACCTAACTTCCTTTCCACAGATTGTAGAAATTCACACTGCGTGCTGTGTCACAAATTTAACTATAAATTAATAACATGAGTTTTTAGCACTACACAGCCTTCACATGAAGTCAGTATTAACACTCCATTGCATTAGTAACAAATGAAACATTAGAAGAATGATGCACTACAATACAATCACTTCACCTTCTGATGGGTTAAGATATTTTTGGTTATTGCCATGTGCACAGTTATGACATGCATCAAAGTTTGAAAATTACTGAAATACCTGTTTCTGGAGATCTAAGTAATTCTTTGTCCCACCTAACCTCAAATTCTAGCATCAAACAGGGTCAGACATTGGAAGCCTGTGCTTGTAGTCCTAGCAACTCCAGAGTTAGAGATCAGGGCCTTGCACTTCCTAGGCAGGCACTCCACCACTTAAGCCACGCTCCCTAGCATTTTCTGCTTTAGTTATTTTGGCAGCAGGGTCTCATTTTTTGTCCAAGCCAGCATGAACTGCGATCATCCTATTTATGCTTCCTATTAGCTTAAGATGACAGTCTGCTGCTACCACACCTAGCTACTGGTTGAGATAGGGGGGGTGGGGGTGGGGGTAAAGAGTAGGGGGTGGATGGAGGGGGGTGGGTCTCAATAACAGTTTACCCAGATGACTGGGTGCTGCACATTTCTTTTCACATCTCATTTTTAAGTTCTCATGTAAATTTTTTAAATAAAATCAGTAATTTACAATTACAATTTCAAAAAGCCTAATGGAATTAATTGTTCAATTATCCCTCAGGAAGCTTTTCTAGGTTTCAATGGAATTCTAGAAAGTCAGTAACATCAGAATTATGTAAAAGTAAGTATATTTAGTTCTTTAAATTTTGTACAGTAAACTCTGAAGAAGTAACGTGGTTTCCCTGTGTTTTTTTATACTGAGAAGATGGGGTGATTGGAGCACGAAAAGAACTGGACACTGCCAATTGCCAGGGCTTCAGAATGTCCCTAACAACAATGGCTGTGATCTAAAAGGTTCATATTCTGGCATGTTCTCACACATGCTATGAGGGATCTTTGCCAACATTTCCCTATCCCCCATAACCTCAGTCAAAATAAGATTTTTCTCACTTGTCCTCTTTCTTCCACCACAGACCTTCCTTGACACAGCAAGCCTCCAAAAACTGCATCTGAGTGGGTCCCCTACTGCAAAACAGAGAGCTATTGCCAAGAGATGGGACTACCAACCAGTCCCAATATGAGATTGCAATTTTTTTCTGCTGCCAATGTACTTGCATCTACCTGCATGGCTACAAAAAAAGTAACGAAGAATTTTTTATTATCTAGGTCTCTCCCTTCGGGAGTTCTGGGGTTATAATTACAGATGACATTAGTTTGGCAGCTCAGCCAAGTCTTAAGAGTTCTATCCATTTCCATAATTAAGCTGATTTTTAATTTCTTTTTATTTTATTCACCAAGGATTTAAAGGATGCTAATAATATTTACCCATCTCCACACCCTAGCTTCTTGCTTTTTATTCAAATTCTTATAATGTAAGAATATCAAATTACCTGCAGAGTTTGAACTAAATACCTGCAGCTGCTTCTGGGTAAAACCCTAGGGCATAAAAGTTAAGTAAGTTCCTTCAAAAGTTCTTCTTGCAGGTTTCACAAGCCTGGAGTCAAATGGAAAGAAGAGCTCTTTCCAGACATTGTGTCAGGCTTTCCCATGGTTATATCTTTCTGTTTTCTGCTTATTCACACTATATAAATACTCACAAATAATCAAAAGGACATATTTTTAGGGATCCCTGGGTTAAGTTCTATTGGTCTATTCCTCATCACTGAGCTTCTAACCAAAGCCCAATTTCATCTCATACCCCAATTTTTTTATCTTTCCAAAGAAGTGTCTCCTGGAGGTCAAACACCTCTTTTGCCATGGTGTCTATTTTCTGTTGCATGTGCTGATTCTCCTGCAGAAGAAGAGGGGAAGAGAAATAATAGAAAAGCAGAAATTTCTTTATGGGGGGAAGTTGGAGGAAAACAGAAAAAAAATAAAGTTGATAATAAACTCTTAAAAGGGAGGAAAATCTGTGATAAACAGAAAGGACAAGAGTGGTTTGTAACAGTAGAGATGATATCCAAGTCTTGGTGATATCAATCTCATCAGCTTGTCCCACAAAAGCAAGCAAGGACAGACCATGAGATGTATGTAGTTCAGTGGTAGAGTGTATGATTAGTATGCTCAGAGATTTGGGTTTGAGCCTCAGCACAACAAAAAAAAAAAAAGAAAGAAAAAAGCAAATGTAAGCAAAGAGATTGGCAATAAATAACTTCCAACCACAGCTATGTAGCAACCAGGGTTTCTGTGTAACATGCAGCTCCATTATGTGTACTCTTTCTTTGATAACCATCTCTTTTTTATTCCCATCATGGAACAACTTACATTTCTAGAAGGTAACTTAGGCTTAGGAACAAATGAGCTTTTACCACAAACAACAGATAGTAGTTTTAAATTTTTCTTAAGTAGAACTAACAATATACAAAGACAGACATATCTCAGCTTGATCACTTTTATTTTCTGTTAGAAGAAGTATACTAACAAGAGCATAATGAATTATAAAGTAAAGATCAGTTTTTAGAAAAACTGGAATTTAACATGTAGCAATCCTAAAAGAATTCTTCAGATTAGGCAATTATGCTTAATTTATACCATCTTTTTTTTTGTCATTTTTATTAATAGGTATTAATTATACAAAGGGGTTTCATTGTGCATATAATGTACTTTGATCAAATTCACTCCATCAGTTACGCTTTCTTATTCCCCTTTTAAGACAATTTTAATGGGTTCCATTATTCCATTTTCATATATGTATATAAAGGGCTTTGATAATTTATACCATCTTAAACTTAATAGGTTTTCTCCAATGCATTATTAGGAAATTATCATTCCCATATAATTCTTAATTCTAGAGACCAAAAAGCATTATTTGTCATACTCAAACAAGGTTTTTCAATTGTATATGCATAATCATGCATAATAACATCTGAATGATCTTAATTATAAACATAAAAAACCCCTTAAAACTAAAGTTTTTTAAGAGTTTATATCTAGCACCTGGGGCTTTTAAAGAAGCCACAGTAATAAATTATAGAAACCAAGCATTATTATCCTTTGAAATGTAATTATTAATTTAAAACTAGAATAGTTTACCAGTTCTAAATTAAGCTACTGAATTTAAACAGCTCCCAAAGCATTTTTATTATCCCTTTGAAATAAATAAAGCAGGAAGGTATGTGTCTTTTTTTGTTGTTTTATTATTCATATGTGCATACAACGCTTGGGTCATTTCTCCCCCCTGCCCCCACCCCCTCCCTTACCACCCACTCCGCCCCCTCCCTCTGCCCCCCACCCCCTCAATACCCAGCAGAAAGGTATGTGTCTTAATTATGAAAAGAAATGAGTGACTGTCATATCGACACAAAAGGACAAAAGGGGAAAAAATTATTTTTTAATAGCAGCAAGACAGAGAACTTGGATAGTATGCTCCAAAAACAAGCAAACAAAAAAAACAGAACTAATTCACTGTAATCTGACAGATGCAAAGGGTTATCCATACCTACATTTCGAATCCACAAATCCTAACTATGCCGAATTCAATTTTTCTTAAAAAATAACACAAATGCTAACAACCCATATACACAAAAAAAGTAATTTCTTTTTCTCTACTAAGTGATTTTTCAAGTTATTTACAGGGAAAGAGTAAATGAGGAGACAGGTCTCAGGGGAAAAAAGGGGGAGCAGAGAAAAAAAGAGTAGGGAAGCAGGGAGAGCGGTTGGGGGAGGGAGGAAGGGAGGGAGAGAGAAAGATAAGAAACAGACAGAGAGACACACACCTACTAGTTATCTGAGTCACCAGGAACATGGACAAGTGTAGAAAGTGAAGTATTTCCCCTGGATCATTAAGAGTTCGACTTCCTGATATTAATAACCTATAATCAATATAGTATGCAGGATCTCCCTCAGACTTACTTCTATATTTATAAAACACTTCAAGAAGAAAAACCACATTCAAAGAAGAACAGAGATACATGCAAGGAGGTTGGCCTACAAGTATGATGAATGCTTTCAAAAAGTTTTTGGTAGACTATACCTCTTCCCACAAAGATGCTGCCAATAAGGTGGCCTAAGTTCTCCATAAACACAAATATGTACCTTTACACTAACCAACCTTCACCTTTCTGTACATAGGTATGGATCTTGACAATTTCTTTTTCATTAGCTGCCTCAAAAATGTTCCTACCTGCATGAAGATCAAGATTCTTATAACTCAAGAATCATGTCCCAAAAAGTGGGACTCACTAGGGTACAAAGAATGTTTTTGCCTACTGCCTAAGATATCTTTAGGAAAGAGTGTGCTTAGGAATAAAACTTCTGCTATGAAAGAAGGGAATATCCATAGCATTAGTAAGTGTTAATTTTTTAAACTTGCCTTTATGTTTCACATTGGAAAAATTTTAGGACAGAGCCAAATAGGAACACAAGTGAACTCTTTTACTTTTGTTTTAGCTTTCGTCTCCCAACACACACACACACCCTTATCCTAGCCAACTCATTTAATTCAAAGTTATTTCCACAGTTCACGTACATACCTCAATAAGTTCATCTCTTTGCCGAAGGCCTTCTTTAAGTTCATCCATTTTATGCTGCAGCACGCTACACATATGTTTCTGCCTTTCTAATTCCTGTTATTAAATAAATGGTATTGTTTACACAGGTCATGGTACACAACAAATTCAAACATTTGCAATAGAACACATATATCAACTATGACTTCCAGAAACATGCCTGACTGCTAATCTAAAGGTAAAGGAAGATAGAACAGGCTCTACAGACACTCTTAAAAAATGAATAGCCAAAAAATAGGGGAAATCATTTTAAGTGATTCAAAAATCTACAAACAATAAAGAGAAAGGGGGCAATAAATTAAAAGTTTTGAAAAGCAAAAGATAACATAAAATAAAATGATAAATGACAAACTGCAAAAACATACAATTTATTTTCAGAGACAAAAGGTTATTACAATTTCTCCATACAGAGAACCTCTAAAATTAGAAGGAAAAAAAAAAAAAACTATAGCTACAATAGAAGAATAGGCTAAAGAACTGGACAGTTTATAGGAAATGAAATGGAAATAGCTCCGAATTTGAAAGATACTCACACAAAGAGAAATTCAAACTAAACTAACACCATATTTTTTCACTACAACACTAGTATAAGTCCAAATCACATAACATGTAAAAAGGAGAATTCAGCACTATCTTACAAAATTACATACCGTTCAACCCAGCAACAACACTACTCTTATGACTCTATCATAGACACACTGACAAAAAAACACAAAATGACCTACACAGTATGTTATTTTTGCAGGACTTTTAATAGCAAAACATTGCAAACCACTTGAATGACCATGAATAGACAATGAAGTGTACACACAATGGAGTAACTACACAGTAGTGAAAAGGAATATGAGATAGAATGCCAATAAACTACATTCAGAAGATGATAAAAACAAGATGCAGAAAAGCATTTATAGTGTGCTACCATTTTCTAAGAAAGTAGGGATACAAATAGATACACTTTGATATATTTTGAATGCTACAGATACTGATCTTTTTATTTAAAGATGGCTAATCTATCCTCTTAGTTTAAAAAAAAAAGGAAAGATAAACCAATTAAAAAAAAAAACTCCCCAAAGGAAGGAAGAAATGAAGGTGAAGAGATAAAAGATTTACTTCTCTAAATATGTTTTCTTTGTTGATTTGACTTAAGAGCTACCTATTTCACAAGACTAAATTTAAAAACAACCTTAGTGTCCATCAAAAGAAAGTGTGGAAAGCAGGGTCTGGAAGCTGAGACATGAGGATCCTAAATTCAAGGCCAGCCTGGATTACACAGCAAGACTCTGTCTCAAAACAAACAAAAGAAAATGGATAAACAAAATGTACCATGTATATGGTGGAAAATTATTCAGCCTTAAAAAGAAAGGAATTCTTGTCCTATAACATGGATGACCCTTAAGGACATGATACTAAGTAAAATAAGCCAGTTGCAAAAAGACAAATATGTGATTCTATTTATGAAGTACTAACAGTAGTCCAACTGACAGAAATAAAAATAAAATCATGGCTGCCAAGGCTGGGGGAAGGGTCAAATGGGGAAATCTTTAATGGATACAGAGTTTAGTTTTGCAAGATGAAAAAGTTCTAGATGTTTAATGCAGGACAGTGTGAATACACTTAACAGTACTGAAATGCACCCTTTAAAATAGTAAGTTTTATGCTGTATATTTTTACAACAATAAAAAAATTTTTAATTCCTACATACTGAAGATAAAATACAGTAAAGCTAACTACATACCCAGTTAGCAGCATAATCACAGAGAAACTATTTCAAGTAACTTTTCAAAACAATACTTCGGCTATACATAGCCTAGTGGAGAAAATAAAGGCCAAACCAAACACTTTCAACTATTTTCAGTAATTATACTGGTGTTAAACTTGGTATTGCTATTCTGGGAAATATAGAATAAAACAGTGAGAATAGAATAGAATATAATTGCTATCATCCCTAGTGACTCTGAGAACTAGGAATTGCAGTGTGGGAAAAAGGAGATACAGATTTAAGACAGAAGAATTTAAGTAAAATCCCTAGAGTCCTGAACATAAACTAGAACTATCAAAGCATAATATATTTTGTCATTCAAAGAAAAAAAACTCACATATGTACTTTCTAGATATATCCACTGAAAAACCTGTAACAGTGACTAACTCAACAGTAATAAGCACCACAAGCACCCACGCTGCTCTGCTAAAAGGACTAGGGCTCCTTGGACAAATGACCAGTTCCAAGTCAGAGATAGAAAATGGACAAGATGAGACAGAAGCATCCTCTTCTGTCAGAAAGCAAAAAAACTCTCAATTAGTCATCCAGAATACTTGGGAATCAACTTGAAGAGGCTCATATTAGCCAGAAGCAGAACAATTTGAGCATAAAAATAATAATAATAAGAAGAAGAAGAAGAAGAAGAAGAGCTGCAATGCACTGAAAACACCAAAAGCATGAATTCATGAATTTGTAGTGATAGTTTTTAAAAAAAGTAAATAATTGTTCACCATGAAAGGACACTAAACAAACAACTCATTATTTTGACATTTATAAGTAAATGCATAGAACCAAGTCTATATCTTGCCTTTCCTATGTACACTGTCTCATCTGAGTAATAAGAGATGAAAAAGTTTCTCTTTAAAGATGGACTTAAGCTAATAAAGAAAGCATAAGAAGTAAAAAGACAACTCACACTATGGAAAAAAATGTTTGTGAATCATATATCTAATAAAACTTGTATATAGAATACATAAACAACTTTTACAACTCAATAATAAAAAGACAAAAAATTCAATGAAAAATAGGCAAAGAATCTGAATAGATATTTCAGATGATATACCAATAAGCTCATGAAGAGAAGCTCAAAATCATTAGTTTACCAGGGAAATGCAAACCAAAACCACATCCACTAGATTGGCTAAAATTAAAAAGTAAGATAATAGGTGTTGGCAAAGATATGGAGAAATCAGAACTCATATACACTGCTTGTAAGGAATGCAAAATGAGGAAGCTTTGGCAAAAACACTGTGGCATTCCTCAAATAGTTAAACATAGTTACCATGTGACCCAACAATTCCCCTCCTAAGTACATACTAAAAAGAAACGAAAACATTATGTTCACACACAAAAAAATTGTGCACAGATGCTTATGCAGCATTATTCGTAACAGCCAAAGAGGAGAAACAAACCAAATGTCCATCTATGCAAATGATTAAACAAATGTGGAGTGACCACAGATGAACCTTGAGATCTATACTGAGTGAAAGTCACCAATCACAAAAGATTATGTATTATATGATTCCATTGCTATGAAAGTCTAGAATAAGGAAATCTATACACACAAAGTAGATCAGTAGTTAATTGGGGCTAAAGGATTGAGGGATATAGAGATCCTAGCTAAAGGGTATGTGGTTTCTTTCTGAAGTAATGAAAATATTTTAAAGAGACTGCCGTAACAGATGTACATTTATGTGAATATATTATAAACCATTGAATTATATACTTTAAATGGATGAATTGCATGACATGAAAACTGCATCTTAATAAAGATGCTTAAAAATAAATAAAATTAAGTAAACAAATAATGATAAAAATCATTTGATTCTAGTCTGCAAACTCTAATCAACTACAGGATCTAAGAATCCTGCTACAGCACACAGACATGTGGCCTCTTGAAGGAATGCAGCACCAATGAAGCAGAATGCCAAAAAGGCTACAGTTACATTTGGTTAAGTCTCTATACCTGACAGCCTATTTACAGGAACTAGAGGAAAAGGGAACACAGGAAAGATGTCAAAGGAACAAAAACAGTAAAATCTCTAAGACTGGCAATCTGTTAATACAAGCCATACAGTTTCTTCACAGATAAATTGCAGGGGGGAGTAGAGGGAGCATAAAAGAGGGTTGAAGGCATGGTTCAAGTGGTAGAACATCTGCCTACCAAGCATGAAGCCTGGAGTTCAAATCACAGTGCAGAAAAAAAAAAAAGACAAGAAAGATTAGGAATGTAAAATAGATACAGTTGGGGGAAGGGGGGCGGTGTTACCTGTAGGACAGGGGAGAGTGAATGGAGGAGAATGGAGGTAAGAGAATATGATTGATGGGATTCATATACTTATGCAAAATAGAACAATGAAACCTCTTCCAACTGCTTTAAGTGGGGCAGAAAGGGTGTTGGGGGGGTTATCTAACCAAGGCACAATGTAAGGCTATTCACAATGAATTCCCCCTGTACAACAAATATATCCTAATAAAAATGCGAAAAAATTAAAAAAGGAAAAGAAGAAAGGGAACCTATTAATTAAAAGTCTTTAAAAGTAAGGCTGGTGGACTGGCTCAAGTAATACAGTACCTGCTTATTAGCAAGCACGAGAACCTTAGTTCAACCCCAAGTACCAAAAAAAAAAAAAGTCTTAAAAGATATAACAACTGATTTCAGGGTGGAGAATTATCTGGAACCTGATTCCCCCCTCCCCCAAACATAGCCCAGGCTTGCTTTAGATTCATGATCTGCCTCCCTCTGCCTCCTGAGTGCTGTACCACCACCTTCTGGTTTCTTTTCAAGTACAAAAAAAGGAAAATCATCTACGGCATTTTGAAACTACTAAAATTTTAACAGTGACTAGGTATGTAATTGAAGGAATGAAGGAAATAGTATTAATTTTTCAGGTGTGAAAAGATCTTTTTATCATTTTTTTAAAGAGAGTCCATATTATCTACCAAAATTCATATTAAAATATAGGATGCTTAGAACTTGCTCAAATATGGGAGTGGGGGAAATGGAAAGCGCAAAACTTACTATGGGTTGATGGTATCTGGAGGCAGATGCTTGGTGCATGAAGATTCATTATTTTCCTTTATGTAATTTTTTTGTATGTTTAAAAGCCATATTAAAATATTTTTAAATGCTAGATAAGCTAACTTCCTACTAAAATGAATAGCTATTAAGAATAGAGTAATATATTTAGGACATTACCAATAGGGCATTCTGACCCTAAAATAGACATGAAGATAATGTTTGAAGATGCAATTACTATAAATCCAGCAAAAAGCATTTTGAAAAAAATTAAATGTTGTTGTTATTGAATGGTTGTTCTCTACTCTACCTCCTGCTATAATGAAGTGCCTGACGTCTTTGTGTATCCATGAATGTGAACATTCTATTTCATGAGGTGGTACCTGTTTGGGGCAAGAGAGCTCAGAGAAAAAGTATGTTGGCAAGACACTATCAGAAATATACAGCAGAGTATGTGAAGTAGATTTCCAAGGAATTAAAAAAGCTTACAGATTTTAAGTTGAAAAGCACAAGATTCTTTTAAAAATCCCCTACATATACTAAGATACCTCTGTATCTTAGCAAATGATGGAAAGAAAAAACAAAGTTGGTTAAAATAACTATTTATAGGTATTTTATGCTCAGGGGCATTTGAGAAGATGGGAAGATAACTACATTTGAGTTCTGATCACAAATAGCATCATAGTAAGATTTTTTTTCTAATCTGCTGGAAGCAAAAAGCCAGAAAAAGATATGAAATACATGTGGCTAGGCAGAAAAGGAATACATAGAACTCTAGGCAAAATAAGATGGCCCAGAATCTTCAAAAATAGTCTATGGCATACAAAAAGAACCAAAGAGGAAATCAGCTATTACCAACAAGTCATGGCCATGTTCAATGGGCTACTATGGATCCAACATGAAAGCATCAAGAGGCCTATTTTTCACCCAGGTGTTCTTATCCTAATCCTTTAAAGTGGGTTTTTTAAAGAGCAATTTTAGGTTCACAGCAAAATTGAATAGAAAGTACAGTCTTCCCATATACCTCCTGTCCCCACACATGCAGTCTCTTCTATCAACATTCCACACAAAAGTGATACATTTGTTTCAGTCAATAACACTAACACATCATTATCCAAAGTTCATAGCTCATGTTAAGATTCACACATGATTTCTATGGCCTTAAATAAATACATAATAACACTATGGCCTTAAACAAATACATAATAACATTATGATATGATCCTCTACACTCTGCATATTCATCCATTCCTCAAACTCCTGGCAAACACATCCTAACAGTTTTTGAACATGACCAAACCAAACTGGAATAAGCATTTCAGTCCATTCAGTCCTTAAGGAAAGAAATTCCTATAAAAAGACTACTTAGAGAACAATGCTAGCATCTTATAGGTTGTATAAATGTTGCTTCTCCCTTTATTATGTTGAGATTGTTGTTTCTAGCAATACATCAAAACACACTGCTTACATTATTTTCATTTGTTTTTATATTGACAATGTAGCAGCAATTCATTTCTGGATATTGTAGCCATTTATTTGTCTTCTGAACTAACATCAACAATTTGTCAATGTCCAGGTCTAATAACCTTTTAAGAGAACCTGATTTGCTTTCTGCAGTTGTCCAACAACAAATGTAGACTGTAGGCAATGTACATTATAACAATATAGATTTTTACCTCCAAAGAAAACATCTGGCAATTTCTGGCCCTTGCTTCCACACTGCTATTTTTAAGTAACTGGTTAATGACTTCTCTCCGATTGCTTAGGAAATGGATACTCTTGAACCATTTCAAAACTTACAGAAAAAAATGAAACCACCTCACCTTCACTGAAAGTCTCTAGAATTTTATGCTATGACAAGAAGAAAATAAGTAATTAACAGTAATTGCCATAATTCAATGATAGAAAATAAAAATAAAACTTGAGATGTAATGTAATCTATTTTTAAAAATCTAAAAAAGGACATAAGCTTTTCCCTCAGAAAACAAAATTTAAATATTTTAAGTTGATATCTTAATGGTGCTTTGCCAATTTTCTTAGACCATCCAATTTTGGCTGAAGCATTCCTAAATATGCTGCAATCTTCAATTAAACTCATCACTCTTTACAAGACAGGCTTTTATTTTCTGATCCAAGAAAATGTTATGGTACAAATGAGCAATTACCTTCGATTTTTCTTCATTTTCTCTATAAAATTCTGCCATCTGTTCCTCCTGTTCTTCAATAACATCCTTGAGGGTATCCACCTGGTATATCAGATTGTTCTTCTCATTGTCCAGTTGTGCATTTGAAACCATGGCTTTCTTGTACTTCTCTTCCACTTCAGACAAAGACTCCTAAATGACAAAACCATCAAGCTTGACATTTAAGATATATTCACTGGAAATATGTAATATAATAGTAAATTAGAGCACTGGTACAAACACACAAATATGCATTTTTGCAAAATACAAGTGGTTTGGACACTTTTAGTTTAGTAACATGCACATAAAGCAGGAAGGAAATGTATGTCCTCTGCTCCCCAAGGGGACGGGGGGTACGAAATTAAGCAGCAATATAGCCTCTTGAAGACAAAATGGTGTGCAGAAAACATTTCTGAAGATCCAGAAAACCTACATTTGTTGTTTTTAACAACAAAATATCTAGTATTCAGAATGTAGTGATGTAACAGAATTCAGACTTTCTTTATTCAAGTACACACTCATTTGAATTTTATCACTTCCTGGGCTTTTGTTTCCAGTATTTCCTATTGTGCATAAAAATGCTAAAATAAATGTGTAAAACATTTTTTCTACCAATTATTCAAATTTTAATCATTTAGTCATTTAAATAAGTAAAGCAATGTAAAAATGACAATTAAGAAAAGAGGTACCACCAGCAGTGGCTCACACCTATAATCCCACCTAGTCAGAAGGGGGAGATCAGGACCATTGCAGCTGGAGTCTAGCCCAGGCAAAAAGCTAGCAAAACCCCATCTCAACCAACAAGCTGGGTGTGGTAGAACAACCCTATAATCCCAGCTACTCTGGAGGCTGTAGGTACAAGTATCAACATCTAAAGTCCACACAGGACAAAAACATAAGGACCTACATGAAAAAAATAACTGCAGCAAAAAGGACTGGGAGCATAGCTCAAGTGGTAGAGTGTCTGCCTACCAAGCAATAGACCTGAGTTTAAACCACAGAATAGCGAAAAGAAAAAGAGAAGAACTACAACCCAATGACTGAAGTTTTATGCAACTCAGTTTTCTATACAACATAGCTTACAAGGATTCTTTTTGTAAATAACTGCATCTAATTTTGTAATTACTACTGCCTAGAGACTTTTTGTTTTTTAAGCTAACAAGAAAAATACTTCATATAGAAAAAGTAATCACTTCCAGAGTTAAATTCAAAACATACTAGTGCAAATGTTGAGAACCAAGATTACTAAAAACTCCACCAAAAAACTTAGAAATCATAAACGCTTTTGGCAAAGTTTCAGGATACAAAATTGATATACAAAAATCAGTAACTTTCCTATATACCAACAATGAACAGGCTGAGAAAGAAATTAGGGAAATAATCCCATTTACAATAACCTCAAAAAGAGTAAAATACCTAGGAATAAATTTAACAAAGGAAATGAAAGACCTTTTCAATAAAAACTATAAATCACTGAAGAAAGAAATCAAAGATTATGAGGAGATGAAAAGATCTCCCGTGCTCATGGATTGGCAGAATCAATATTGTGAATAGGGATATACACCAAAAGTAATCTACATGTTCAATGCAATCCCCATTAAAATTCCAATGACATTCTTCACAGAGATAGAAAAATCAATCCTAAAGTTCATATGGAAGCACAAAAGACCTCAAATAGCCAAAGAAATTCTGAGCAAAAAGTCCAATGCTAGAGGTATCACAATACCTGTACTATACTACAGAGCCACAGCAATAAAAACAGAATGGTATTTGTACAAAAACAGACACAAAGACCAATGGAACAGAAGACCAAGACATAAATCCATGCAACTATAGCCAAATGATTTCTGACAAACAAGCCAAAACATATGGTGGAGAAAGGACAGCTTCTTCAACAAATGGTGCTGGGAAAACCGGATATGTGCATGCAGAAAATGAAACTAGATTCCTGTCTTTCACCCTGTACCAATATCAATTCAAAGATGATCAAAATACTTTAATATAATAATACTCTTTCCTGAAACTACTGCAGGAAAGAGTAGGGAAAACACTGGAACACATAGGCATAGGCAATAACTTCCTTAATAGAACTTCAAAGGCTCAACAATTAAGAGAAAGAATGCACAAATCTGACTGCATCAAACTAAAAGGTTTCTGCACAGCAAAGGAAACCGTTACTTAGATTCAAGAGAAAGCCCACAGAATGGGAGAAAATCTTTGCCAGCTATTCATCCAATAAGGAACTAATAACCAGAAACTACATGGAGTTCAAAAAAACGAGACTCCCAAAGAATCAAAAACCCAATGAAGAAATAGGGACATTAACTGCATAGACAATTTTCCAAGAGATACAAATGGCCAATAAATACATAAAGAAGTGCTCAACTTCCCTGGCCATAAAAGAAATGCAAATCAAACTACACTAAGATTTCATCTCACCCCAGGTAGAATGGCTATCTTCAAGAACACAAAGAACAACAAATGTTGGCAAGGATGCAACTAAACAGGAATCCTTGTACTTTGTTGGTAGGAATGTAAACTAGTGACCACTATGGAAAGCAATTATGGACTCCTTAAAAAATTAAAAACAGAACTACCATATGATCCAGTGATACCACTCCTGGGCACATACCCAAAGAAATCTCAGGATGCAATAGAGACATATGCACACCCATGACTACTGCAGCACTGTTCACAATAGCCAAGCTATGGAGACAGCCCAGATGCCCTACAACTGATGAATGAATTAAGAAACTGTAGTATACATACACAGTAGAGTACTACTCAGCCATAAAGAATAAAATTATGTTGTTTGCAGGTAAACTGATGGAATTGGAAGACATCATGTTACATGAAGTAAGCCAGGTTCAGAAAAACAAAAATCGTATGTTTTCTCTATGTGGAAGATAGATCCAAAAGATAAACATGTGCACAAAAACAAACATGATTAACTTATATGTAAAGCATGTTTGTAAGAGTAGAACTATTCTATGGAACTCAGGGGAAGAGGGAAAGGATAGGAGAATAAAGAAGAGTCAATAATATTGAAATATACTGTATCTGTGCAGGTAGATGACATATCAATATGAACTGGAAGCTGTTGAATATACATGGGGTAGGAGGGAAAGCTGTTGAATAAATATGGGGTAAGAAAGAGGGTTGAACTGACCAAACTACAGTATATTCATAGCTGAAATATACTGAAAAAAACCCTTCTGAATACTGACTTTAGAATTAAAAATGAAGGACAGGACTGTAAAATGGGTCTGGTGGGGGCAGTGGGTACCTGTAGGAGGGGAAGAATGGAGGAGATGGAGGGGAATATGGTCATGTGCTTTGTACACATATACAAAATAGAAAAATGAAACCTTTTGCAATTGTTTTAGGTTGGGTAAGGGAAGTAGTGAGAGGGAGGCAAGGGACAAACCTAACCAATGTACAATGTAAGCATTCAGAAATGTTATAATGAATCCCACTGTACAATTAATGTATGCTAATAAAAATGGGGAAAAAAAGAATCCAAGATCAATAAAATGGACTCAAAACTCCAGAACCCTTATAATAAATTAATGGGAAAAGAATAAACAATGTTGGAACTGGATACTCACATTAAAAAGAATGAAGATGGACTCCTACCTAACACTATACACAAAAATTAACTCAAAATGAACCATAGATGTGAATATAAGAACTGAAACTATAAAATTCTTTAAAGAGAATATTGATGTCATGACCTTGGAGTGGATTATATTTTCTTAGATCTAACAAGAAAAGTACTATTAACCAAAAATTTTTTAAAGATTTCATTCAAATTTAAAAATTTATATTTGTATGGGTGCTGGTGGATGCTGTAATCCTAGCTACTCAGGAGGCAGAGATCAGAGGATCAAGTTTTAAAGCCAGCCCAGGCAAATAGTTCACAAAAAGCTATCTCAAAATACCAAAACAAGGGCTGGTGGAGTGGCTCAAATGGTAGAGCACCTGCCTAGCAAGTGTGAGGCCCTGAGTTCAAACCCCAATGCCACCAAGCACACACACACACAGTGAGATCCCATTTCATGTTCACTGGGAGGGGTCTAGTCTATAATCAAAAAGATAGGGGCTACAGGTGCAGCTCGGTGGTCGAGTGCATACTTAGCATGTGTGAAAACCTGGGTTCAATCCTTAGTACACCCCACCAAAAAAAAAAAACAGGTAATAAATGTTAGGGAGGATATGGAGAAATTGGATCCCTCATACATTGGTGGTGGGAATGTAAAGTGGTGCAGCAAACTTTGGAAAATAGTTTGGCAGTTCCTCTAATATTAAACATAGTTACCATATGATCCAGTAATTTTACTATATGATCCAGTAATTCCACTCCTAGTTATCTACACAAGCAAAATGAAAGCATGCCTATATAAAAACTGTATGCAAATGTTCACAGCAGCTTTATTTATAAGTAGAAACAACCCAAATGTGCACCTACTGCAAGTGGATAAACAAAATGTTGTAACCCATACAATAGAATATTATCCACCCTTAAAAATTACCAAAGTGTGGGCTGCTGGAGTGGCTCAAATGGTAGCTAGCAAGCATGAGGCCCTGAGTTCAAACCCCAATACCAATTTAAAAAAAAAAAAAAAACCAGGCTGAGTGGCTCACACCTACAATCTCAACTTCTTAAGAGGCAATTGGGAGGATCTCAGTTCAAGGCCAGTCTGGGCAAAAAACTAGTGAAACCCTATCTCAACAAATAAGCCAGGTATGATGGCTCACATCTGTGATCCCAACTACTTCGGAGGCAGAGATTGGGAGAATTGAGGTTTGAGGCCAGTTCAGCCAAAAACTTATCAAGATTCAATCTCAACAAGTAATCCAAGTGTAGTGGCATGCACCTGTGGTCCCATAATATAGGAAACCATAGGTAGATGAATCTGGGTCTAGCCCAGCCCCAGACAAAAACATGAGACTCTAAAAACTAACCTAAAAAGGGATGGAGGCATGGCTCAAGTGGCTAAGTACTTACCTAGCAAGAGGAAGTCCTGAGTTCAAACCCCATTACCAAAAAAAAAACCCTGATATATGTTACAGCACAGATTATTATAAACATTATGCTACAAGAAAAACCAATCACAACAGAACAATTTTGTGTGATTTCATATCATCCATATCTGGAGATTTCACATAAAATCTCTAGAACATCAAACTTGAAATCTTCCTGCCTCAGCTTCCCGAGTGCTGGGATTAACAAGCATGAACCACCACACCCAGCAATTGTTCACATAAAATTTGTGCAATATGATTTTCCTGTAAACAACAGCACTACAGAAGACTTTATAATTTAAGTGTCAAGGTAGTTTTAATTATCTTAATCTTGCTCACATAGTGACATCCATTTGGAATCAGTTTTACTTAAATGTTTCTCAGTGTAGGCTAGTGATCACCAGCAACAGCATTAATCGGGACCTGGATAATGTAAACATGCAAATTTTCATTCCTATCACAGACTCAATGCATCAGAAAATTTGGAGGTAGAATCCAGTAATATTATTTTGAAAAGCCCCAGGTGATCCTGGTGCACACCAAAGTTTTGAAGCCACTGTGTTAATATTTAAGCTTTGACTGTCTATGCCCATGTGCTTCCAGAGTACCCTCACAACCCTAGAATAAATATCCTCTTACTTGAGTTCAGTGACATGATACCTTCATTATTTTATTCTCTGTGTCATCAGCAAAAAGCTGATGACAAGACATGACAAGACTTATACTTACAGTCTTCTCTTGACAATTCTTTCTGGGATTACTTAAATTAATCCCACTTCCTTACTCATACCCTTCTAAGAATTAAAGGCATGGTAATAGTTAAGAAGAGTACTTTACTGGGCACTGGTGGCTCACGTCTATAATCCTGCTACTCAAGAGGCAGAGATCAGGAGGATCACAGTTCAAAGCCAGCCTGGGCAAACAATTCCAGAGACCAATCTCAAAAATACTCAATACAAAATAAGGCTAGTGGAGTAGTTCAAGTGGTAGAATGCCTGCTTAACAAGTGTGAGGCCCTGAGTTCAAGCCCCAGTACCGCCAAAAATAAAGAAAACTTTTTAAAACTAAAATTAACCAACAAAAATACACCAAGTACCTATGTCAGATAACAAAGATGGATAAGATATTGTTCTTGTTCTCAGCATCTCAAAATGTAGCCCAGTTAACAGTACAAACCTATGAAAAGAAAGGGACAATAACTGGCACATACTAACGTACATCAAGTGCGGGTAACTGAGCTACTTTCAACTCATGAAGGGTGCTGGAAGCCTTGCTTGTGAAGTCCCTGCTTGTCCTTTGTCACATGCCAAGTCAACTTTTTTTTTTTGGTGGGGGGAGTGCAGTATGGGATTTGAACTAAGGGCTTCAGGCTTGTAAGGCAGTTCTTAAGTCATGCCTCCAGCACTTTTTGCTCTGGTTATTTTGGAGATAGGGTCTCAACATTTACCCAGGCCAGCCTGGACCACTTCATCCTATTTTATGTTTCCTGCCATTGCTGGGATGACAGGCACATGTCATCTCATGTGAGATGGGATCTCACAAATTTTTTTTTCTCCCAGGCTGGCTTGGAACTATGATTCTCCCAATGTCAGCCTCCCATATAGCTTGGGGCCCCATTTGCCCAGGCTTGCCTCACACCACAATCCTATCAATCTTAGCCTCTCTAGTAGCTAGGATTACATGCGTTAGCCACTGGCAACTGGCTCTAAGTCACTTTTCTGAGTACTTTACTTTTGCTGGTTTAGAGACTTGGTACCGGTTACAATTTTAAATTAGTGTTCAGAGAAATCCTTGGTTTCTTCATGATACTAGGAAAAGAAGTACATGATAACCAAATGCCATTTATAACCAGATGTCTGTCTCACATATTTATACTGAAAATTGGTAGTCATCCTTGCTGGGAAAACAAAAAGTCCACTTAAATTTACTTCCAAAGTCATTAAAGTACTAGAGAGGTGTATAATCCTTCTTGACACACAGATTAAAAAAAAAAAATCTAAGCAAAAGAAAATACAGACTGCATGCCTTCAAGTTCCTTCCTCCCAAAGGGACATACACAACAATGCTTTCTCCTTCCACTTTTAACACTGATTAAATGTGGTGACAGATTTAAGCAATATGTTTTCATTTAGCTGGGAAGAATTTTAAGGTCCAACTCTCAGTAAAAATATTCTTAGAACATTTTTTAGGTGTTTCCCAATTTAATTTTGTATGGCTGAGACACAAGAGACATATAAATATTTAATCTTAAAAACTGTAAGGAGTGGCTTGATGATGCACACCTGTAATCCCAGCACACAAGAGGCTGAGGCAGGAAAATTGCAAGTTCAAAGCAAGCTTGGGCCACAAAACAAGACCCTGTTCTAAAAAAAAAAAAAAAAAAAAAAACCCCAAAACTATAAGGTATAATATCTTCTGCTGAATATTTCAAAAAGACTGAACTAAAACATTTAAACATAAGCAAAGATTAAAAGTTCACCTTTCTTATGCTTTGCAGGGTAAGCACATGCTTGAAAGACAAACACTGTTAGTAAAGCTATGTGCAGTGGGTTAAAAGAACTCATGAAACCACCATTACCAACAGTTCTGCATACAGAGCATGCATGGGCTACACAATGGGCTCTGTACCTTAAGTTCTTTAAGCCCCTGCATGTATCTCCCTTCTACATCCTGTATCTGGTCCTTCAGGTCATAGATATCCTGCAGGACATAGGAACGAACCATTGCATAAACGACGCACAAACATATCTTCAGACTTAAAGGAATCGGATGAAAGACTTACTTTTGTATATTCCAGACTAAAAGTACAGAAATCAAAATAGAAAAATGTAACTCCCACTCCAAACCACTGAAAGGGACAAACAGGTCAGATGATAGTGGGGCTGGGAAAAGACTGGTGAATTAAACTAGCGTCATATTTTCTTGGCATTAAATTCCATTAAAAACAGCATAACAAAAGGGGGAGGGCTACATATGGAAAAAAGCATATAAATTCTAACATTTTTAACATACACTTTTTAATAATAAATCACAAATAACTTTCAGCATGTCTTGCCTAAAACTAGTAAAATATATAGTAAATTAGAAGCAAATTTTACTGATCTATTTGTAAGTTTCAAAAACTATAATAAAAATGTATATGAAGAAAGTTATCTTTCAATTAATTTAGGAGGGAGAGAAGTTAAACACAAACAATTTGAATACAATGTTAAATGACATATTCTATCCTGAGGATATCATTTAAATGATGAGAAAAGCTTATGCTCCAAATGTTACCATAATACCTATAAGAAAAGTTAACTAGGCCAAATTTTAAATGGAAAATACTGTTTCCCTTGTGCCCATTTCTGTTATATAAGGCCAATTCTGAATTCTCAATTTAGGTGGGACATAACTGCAGCAGGGCCCTACATATGATTCTGCAATTACAAGCAGTATTGATGGTGAAAAGCCAATCGTACACATTTTTGGTATTGTACTTCCCTGCCCCCATCATTCCATGCCTTGTGGATTTGTCTTTTCCTCATTGATTCATTCAGCAGATTATTTTCAGAGGACCTATCAGTACAGAGGTGCTAGGACACAAAAGCCTCACTTCCTTCAAGGAAGTTATTTTCACAAAGAAGAAAAAAAGAGCATCAAGTACTACAACAACAGCAAGTCTGAGGCTGCAAGGCTTTGTCTTGTGTTCTTCTATCCCACTAGAATGTAGCACCTAAAAGCAAGAATTTGCCTTGTCTAACTTTATACCCCAGCACTTACACCTGGTAAACACCAACATCTTCAAATCCATGGCCATGCTGGCCTGGGTCCAACTCTCCTTCTCTGCCACCATTCCAAACCACTCCAACCTCCCCTGACTTCCATCCCACTTTTACAAACCAGACTCCTGTTCCCACCTGACCCACAATCATATTCAAGTACCATTATACCTCCTTCTCTATTGTCAGAGGGAACCTCTAGCCAGGTCAGCCTGAGCCCCACTCTCCTCTTGCCTCAGGCACTCTACAGTCACCTATCCTCTCCTTTTCAACCTTCCTCAAGCCAACCCATGAAAGTAATAAACAATTTCACCTTTAAAAGAAAGTAGAAACTTTCTCTAGTCTTCTCTCCTCCAGTTATTGCCTAATCAACTTCCAGCCTCACATATTTACTTCAGAGCAAGTTTCTCATATTTTCTCTCCTGTGACAGTTTTGACTTGCCCACCTCAATCCTCACTGTTCAACCACAGGGTTACTATTCTCCAATACTTCCTCTGAACTGTGACCAAAGTTAACTTTTAAGAATGCATATCAGAGAGTATTGCTCCCCTATTTAATATAGCACATTTATCAAGGTAAACGGAATTCCTCTCAGGCTAGCAAAGAAGATGCCTTGTGATTTGAATCCTGACTTCTTCTCCAGTCTTCTTTCTCACTCACAACTCCTCTTTATTTCTCATCCTACCCTAAGACAATTTTGCTGTTTAAATAATGTTTTGGTTTTTTCTGAATTCATCTGAGAAAGCCTTTCCATTCAATCTCTTTGCTTGATTAATTCTGTTCCTTCCTCCAAATCTTAGTTCACAGTTTGCCTTCTCTGAAAGGCTTTTTGTTATCTCTTCTCCTACTCTAATTTAGATGATTCCATTCCTATTCTTGCTATCATCATCTCATACCACCTGGTTTTACTGGTATGAATCAGTTTGTCCTCTCTATGAAACAGTGACCTCCTGAAGGTCAGAATGTGTTTTGCTAACTAACTCTCCAGAGCCAAGTGTTCAATAAACTTTTAATGAAGGAATACAGTTCATCTTACTATCCTTCTCCCACTCCTTACAAATAGCAGGTTCGGCAAAAAAGACAAGTATATATAATATAGTTCTCATCTTCCAAATAAAAGAGTTAATTAGGATAGAGACTCAACCAATAGGTCAAATAAGCTTTTCATTATTTCAGGTATTTCTGTGACCCAAATATTATTACACTTCTATTACAATGAAAAGCTGAAGGAACTGTATTCAAGCAGCTGAATACAAAGGTGCAAAAGATTAAAATATCCTATAGTCTGGTTCTTTGTAAATCCACATATTTTCATTTAAAATATGGCAAGTTAATTCTGAATTAGTTTTACATATATACCAAAAAGGTTTTGGCACTGGCAGACTTCACTTTAATATCATCAAATTTTTAGGAAAGAGGGCAGAAAAGAGAATTATCTAATCTTCTTCCTTTCAGGTTCTGAAACATTCAAGAAAAAATTTTGAGTTATATTAGCCATTTCTTTAAGGAAACCATACTTCTTATTCTTAGTAAGTCACATTAAAAGTTAAATGCTCCAGAAATCAAAGGAACCAAAACTTTTTAAAAACCAAACCAAACTGAGGTTTACCCGCAATTCACTTAATGAAGTGTCTGGATCTATTAAGCTGCTGGTGTCCCCACTTCCTCGTCTGGATGAGTTTCCACTTAGAGGGGTTGTTGCTGAGGCAGAATTTCGTGATGAAGGCTAGAGAGAAATATGACATGTCTGAGTTTTGTTTCCTTAAAGTGTGGTCAAAAGTTACCAAGTCAATTGATAGACAATTTAGAATAGTTTTCGGGGAAGAGGCATCTAGAGAAGGGCCCAGGCATACCAAACATAACTTCATTAAACACTTTATTAGAGTCTAGAACTCAAAATAACCAAGAAGGAAATAGTTCTTATGGAAGTTGTTTGGTTTTTATCTTTGCTACATTCAAACAATACTTAAATGACCACATCAGATTAACTCAGAGAAGTTTCAGAACTTTATAACTGATATGCTAATTAACACTGCCCTACTTAGTTCCTAAAATTGCTCAAGAATCTCTTCTTGGGGCTAGGGCTGTGGCTCAAGTGGTAGAGCGCCTGCCAAGCAAGCATGAGGCCCTGAGTTCAAATCCCAGTACCACAATTAAAAAAAAAAAAGAATCTCTTTTTCTAATCCTTTGTTGATAAAGATGGGAGAGTCTATTTGTAGCTGAGAGCAAAACTGCAGATCACTAAGAATTTAGACTCCTTTTCCCAAAAGTATGCTATTGATTAAAAAACAGCAGAGACCTATGCCGTCTAATGTACTAGCCAAAAGCACTTGAAATACGGCTAGTCCAAATTGAGATTTAAGTATAAAATACATACCAGAATTCAAAGGCTTAGTGTGGAAAAAAAGAGTATGTCAAAATATTTTAGATATTTGGATTTAAATATTATTTAAATTAATTTTGCTTCTCTTTACTTTTTTAGTAAGATATCAGAAATTTTAAACTTACAATTCTGGTTTGCATTATATTTTTATTAGACAAAGCTGATCTTTCTCAAGTATAACCTAAGAGGTTTAATTAACCCTGACAAATAATTTCCATAACTTTCTAAAACTACTTTTAGAAAAAAAGTGGAAACTTTACCATAAAAGCAACTCTTAGAAAGGAGTTAAGAAATAATTTATCTATAAAAGAAAAAAAAAAAAAAAAACCTGAGTTTGTCCCCACCATTCCTAAGCACACCATTTTCAGTGTTTTATAGCTTCTCAAGATCAATTTCTAGAGGAATGAGAATCAAAAGAACAGCCAAAAGCTTAAGAGGTGACAGCTAATGAAATGTAGTCTTTTCTCTTCCCAGGGTTTCACATGATTTAACTTCAGAGGAATTTTGAGGGTCAAGGACAGGAAATAGATGAAGGGAAGAAAAGCAAGCTCTATCAGACCAAATGGACTAAAATAAAGAATGAACAAGACACAGAAAGTTTAACTGACCTTGAGATCTTAATTCCCTCAGAAATTCATATACTCACCCTTGTGTAATTTTCAGCATACTGTTTATCAGATTTTTCATCCAACTAGAAAGGAACAAAGGTAAAAATCAAGGAAGGTACTTAGCATGTTGGGGTTTTTGGGGGGGAGGCAGGGAGGGAGAAATGAGCTCATTTGAGTTCTCCAAGTTCAGTGATGATTGGAACCTAAAAACAAACATACTGAATTTTGAAATAAAGTTAAGATACAAAGACAAAATGTCAAGAACTATAATTCTTATCTCAAGGAAGACATGCAGTAAGCAAGCTTGTGTTTACTCAAAAGTTTAGAATGATAGATTTTCTTTTCATGGTATTTAAAATACATTAAAGAAAAACTTCAGCTTTAACACTTCAAATATCAATTTAAAAAAAAAAACCTGTGTATAGCAAAACAAAAGTCAACTAAAGCCAAAAGCCAAAATCATATATTTTTAAACATTATTACGATGTGGTACAGATAGATAAAACTACTTAGTGACACTTACCCAAAATATTCAGACTGAACTAGACCACACTAAAGACAACAACATATTTTTTCCTCACATCATTAAGGATATTTTGTTTTTTTAAGTGACACATACACATATGATCTCCAACCCCATCCCACCAAAAAAAAATTGAAATAGCACAAAAAGGTATGAGAACCAGGCTTCTTCCTACCATGCCATACTGTGACTTCTAATTGCAAAAGGCAACCAACCTCTTTAAAAATTCTAATAATAGTGTTTCAGGCACAATCAAAAGTCTCAAAGTTTTAAGAAAGCACTTCATTTTTTTTTCATGGCATTTATTATTCCCTGACACATGATATTTATTCATTTGTTTATGGTCTGATCTTTCTTTCATATAAGCCTTATGTCTATATGTTCTTTTCTGTGTTCCTAATACCAAGAATAGCACCTAGCATATAGGACTCAAAATTCTACTGGATAAATGAATAAATGCATTATATACCACCAATACTTACAGACTTACCTAATACATCTTATTAGGTTCATAATAGTCTATTATCTCAACATGCCATAATTAAGTTAACTTATATTCCACTGATAGGTCTTAAGGATTTTTCAGATAGTATATCAAGAGAGGAAATACCACATTAAAGGTCTCATCTGAAACCATGGCTTTATAGATGTGAAAAAATTCAGAGGTGAAAAATTTTGCTGAAGGTTGAACAATTAGTACATGCCAGAATTGGATTCAAACTCCATTTTATGAACTCTAGTGTTATTATTATTTACCTGCATAAGCTATCGCAAGTACAGTAAGAAGAAAAAGTCACATGGGGATTTACTAAAGGACCAACCTTCCCAGCCCAATCCAGAGGAAAGAGATTTGAAAAATGAAAACATGAAACATCATTATTTCTGGGTCTGCTCAGATCACTTCACACTGATTTCCTCATATCTGAAAGTTTATTACCGACATCCATCATGTGGGTAATAATTTTAAAAACCTTTTCATTAGAAGTACTATATTGGTAATATAAATACTGTTTTCAGGTATTTAACTCTTTTTTTGCTACTTTTTTACTGTAATACTCCCCAATAAACTATTCTATTTGGATTTTTTTTAACAACATGTGAAATGGTTTTCAACAAACAATGACAGTAGTTGAAATTTATTAGTATTGCCAATAATAATTCTCCCTCAAATCCGTACTAGTAAAACACACTGCCTAATATTTAATGTTATTCTTCAAGGTAAAAGAAATATTGTATTTTAATAAATTGCCTTATTTTCATCAGTATTTTCTAACTCTTTTCTGCTAATGAGTTGAGAAAAACAAGCACCATTCAAAATTAAAACAAACTTTTAAGTCTATTTGAAATCCTTCCTCATATCTGCCTCATAAAAATGACTTCCAAACTCATCCATTTTCTAGTAGACCATCACTTTGGAATAATCTCACATTTCAGAAGCTGCATTACTCAATTAGATCATCATAATACTGATTTTATTATGTTCAGTATATTCTAACAGATCCCAATTGTCACAGCCCAAACTGATCATGCGCCAAACATCAGGGATTGTTAAACCAGCAAAAAATGCCCAGAGCAACCATGCCGCAGTCCTCTTGTTCTGGCTGCAGTGACTTGTCCAGAGACTCTTAATTTGTCACTTCTGAGCATCCTTGTACTATATAAAGCTAGGTAAAACCTAGTATTCTAAAAGCCTTGTGGATTCAATAGCAGCGAAATCTACATATGTTCATAATGATGCCTGGAAAGTCTGCAAGATCCTGAAAAAAGCTTTTTAAATGGGATAAAATTCATATCATGTTTAAAGTATAAAACTGTAGTCTAATAAAGCATTTATAGTGTGATCTGCTCAATGTAGTCATTAGATCCTAATTTTCTGTTAACATCTAACATATATATATATGTGTATATATATATATGGGTTAAATATCTCTTATCAGAAATGTCTGGGACCAGAGTGTTTCAGATTTCAGATTTATTTTTCTGGATTTGGGAATAGTGGCAAATGAGATGTCTTGGGGATGCGACCCAAGTAAACATAAAATTCATGTTTCATATACATCTTATACACATAGACTGAAGGTAATTTTACAGTATTTTTGGTGTAAATACCAAGTCTAAATTTTGACTAGAACCCACCACATGAAATCAGGTATCGGATTTTCCCCTTGTGGCATCATGTCATTGCTCAAAAACGTTCAGATTTTAGAACATTCCAGATTTCAGATCTTTAGTTTACGCATCATCAACTTGTAATGGTAATGCTATCCCATAATCATTTGAGAGCTGGGCACCAGAGGCTCACCTATAATCCTAGCTACTTGGGAGGCTGACATCAAGAGGATCAAGGTTCAAAGCCAGCCTGGGCAAATAATTTGTGAGACTCCCCCAGGCAAAATTACCAAAGCAAAACAGACTGGCGGATGGATCAAGAGGTAAAGCACCTGCTTTTCAAGTTAGAAGTTGAGTTCAAACCCCAGTCCCACAAAGAAAAAAAACAGATTGGGGGTGGAGAAGAAAAACAGAAAACAGAAGATCTGATTCCCTATGCAGAAAGGAAAAGAATTATCAATTTTAATAATACCCTAAAGCAAAACTGACTGAGGATACCATTAAAACTGGGTCAATTATTAACAATCAGAAACATTTTAGTAGTTTATATTCTTTTCCTTTATTCTAGCCTGACCTGGAGAACACAAATAAAGCCAATAAAGAAGAAAAATAAGACAAGGCAACTGTAAATACTGTATCATTTTACAGTGAGGTTTATAGTTTTGCAGTACAGTTTAGCCAAATAAAACTAGGGTAACCATAAATACTATATAGTTTACAGAATCAGGGCCTGTACCCTGTACACCTCCTAGCTCAGAAGTTATTAACTATCAGCCTGTAAAGATATATTTGTTTCACAATGTGGTAGCCAGAAAGTATCTTCTAAGTTTTTAAATTCACTGTCAGCATTTTAAATCAGAATATTTCACATGAAAATGAAAGTTTCAGCTTATCTTTAAAAGGCTGGGGGGGCGCAGGAGTAATCAACATCAAGCCCCCCTTTTATTTGTCTGAATAATCTGTATAAGAAATACTATTAGGAAGCTTTTTGCTCTAGAGATAGTCCTAGCAAGTATTTGAAGCTTTGCAAAGAGGCAAAATTAAGGATATTACATAGGCACTTGTATAGCCATTTAGAAATAGAAAAGTCAGTGACTTATAGGTTATAAAATAATAGGCAGATTAGCAAAGCTCTGTTCAACAGACTCTTTTGCTTACATTAAAGGTTATATTTAATTGGTAGAGGCAGGAGGAGACTTTAAAAAGCTCTCAACCTTTTCATTTCTAAGTAATTACTAAAGTAAAATGCCAAGAAATAAATGTAAAGAGGGTATTATCACTAATTCAGACATCATAAATCAGAGGCTGACAGAAGCAAAACTGTTAAGAGAACAGGTATATATACAATACATCTGATTATATCTATGAAAAAAAGATATTGTTGATCAGGATAATAAAATGGGTAATTTCCAAGGGGATAACTACAAAACCAGTCTTATAATTTAACATGTAGACAGAGTCCTTGATGTGACCCATGATGATACTGCTTCACAGCCAAATTTCAGAACCAAAAGTCTGGACTATTGAAGGACCACACTTAACAGTTATTTTCTAGGATTAAATTAGTTCAAAAATAGCTATTTTATACACAGACTGAAATAACAGTTACAAGCAATGATTTTCACATTTAAAAATTAAATTTTTCCAGGAAAAAATGCTGCAGCTCATCCCTTCTAACATACTTGACAATCATGACAGCACTTATCTCTGGGCAAAACAACACTCATTATAGCAACAGAGGGAAGGAATCCCAGAGGTGAGATGAGCAGATAGGACCTATTTTGCTGGCTGAGGTTCCTTCATGAAGACAAAATGCCTCAAAGTCTCTAATGACAATCTCTCCCCTCAACTAGTTCTCAAAGACAAACAAAGCAATGGATAAGCACACATCTTCAAAACAATATCGTAATTCATGTTTAAAATACCTTCAGGTTATTTCCAGTTTCTGAAAACTAGTAGCACTTTACTAAGTAGTATATTTTACTACTCTACTTTTAATACTTGTCACTTTACAGATTCAACAAAACCAAAAGGAACAAAAAAATTAAGACCAATCAGGAAACCTGAATATGGACTAAGTATTAGACAGTATTATGGAAGTACTTTTTAATTCATCAGGTATAAAAATGATATTGATCTGAAAATATTTTTTAGCGATACATATTGAACTACTTATTAGAAAATGGTATGCATGGGATTTGTTCTAAAATAATTCAGATAAAGAGAGGAAAAAAAAAGACGAAACAAAATTAGCAAAAATAATGGCAATTGTTGAAGCTGCTGATGGGTTCCATAGGACAAATTTTCCACAAGGGAAGAAAAAAGTTTATTTTTTTAAAGGATGTATTAGTAAATATATTCCAAAACAATTAACTGCACTTTATGTTAGTATGTTCAAATATATCCTAGGGACTAAATTAAGCTCCTAATTTTAAATACCTACTGTTTATTAGCTGTTAAGTCACAAGCCTCAGACAACATAATCACTCCATGCAATACACTCACGCTGATCAAATCTGGGACACTGCCATCATCCACCTCAGAGACAACACTCCCCCTACGATTTGAGCGACTAAAGTAATCAGCAGCAGAAACCTATCAGTCAGAAAAAATGAGATGCTTTAAAAGGCAAGAAAAAGTTAAAAGTGAGGATAAAAACTGTTTTGCTTATTTTAATTTCAATGTATAATAAAGTATCATGAAATGAAATGAGGAAACTTTTGCAATTAAGCCTGCCCAAAAATAGGAAAAAATAAAAAGGGAGGAATGATTTCTAAACTCCCTAAAATAAGCTCTTTCATTCATATTGACTGTAATTCTAGACTAGAGATCATTTACTGCCTGAGGGCAAGCAAATCTCCCATGTTCCAGCATTCTCAACAGGGGGGTTTCTAGGATGGTATCTACCTGACATCTCTATATTTCACAAAATTTATAATTCATTATAGCTATCAACTCTGGTAATGCCCAGTTTTCACAATTCCCTTTTTTTATATTCCACAAGACAAGGAAATATAGGACAAAATGACAATGGAAAGGAAACCCTGACCTCTTTTTGGTTCTCCAACTAGCCCAGCTATTACCTGGTCTGGAAAGCTTCTACCCCGCCCACCCACCCCCAGCAACAACTCACACTTCAGGGCTGCTGTTTGTGACCTCCACCCAAAAGGCCCTTCAATGTTCCATATTACATCACCTGCTTTTGATTTCTCTCTTGTGTTCCTTTCTTTACTAGCTTATTTCCTATCTCTTTCATTAGGATATGAGCTCCACAAGGTCAGAAATTTGCTCTCTCTGGTTTAACACATTATTCCTAGCACTTAACACAGTTTCTCAAACATAACAGGCACTCCATGAACACCTTGCAAATTAATAAATTAGTTTTACCTCACTCATCAGTTATTGTTCACCTAAACTGACTGTTTACCTTTCTTTGAAACTCTTCTCCTGGAGGAAGGATTCAGAAATCCATCCACAGAGACATAATAGGCTTAAAAGTATAAAGTTTTGCTAAGAGCTAATACAATCAAACAATGATATTTTTATTCATAGTAATAATAATGTAACTTAGATTATACATACCTAATATTTATTACCTACTCTCTCAGAACTTTTATAGGTAATTTCTAAATAGTAATTCATTTAATCCACATATTAAGTCTACCTGCAAAGTAGAAAGCCATTAACATCTCCATTGTAAATACAAAGAAAAACTTAAAGGTCATAAAAGTGGATGAAAGCCCAAGCATCACTAAAATCCTTGCATTGTTCTCAGGTGCTGTCAGGTGTTGTTTGTTCTTTATCCTTCAGCTGTGAGCATGAGCATTAACTGGTTGCCTAAGGAACTAACTGCTTTAATGAGGTAAATGAACTTTGGGCAATAAATCTCACACACTCAGTGTTCCCTTTCTCTACCTTCTTCCACATAACACAACTTCTATTAAGTGGATTGTGTTTCTGAAAGGAATTGCAGCCTTTCAGGATATTTTTTCTAGCTCTAAGCTGACACATCATCCTCTAACAATGTAATTTCCAAATCAGTTCCTTAAATATAACAAAAATGTCACTGATGCTCTGGAAAATTTCCAGACTTAAATGAATAACTTGAAATTCTACTGTTTGTCCTCTAAAATAGCCATTGCCTCTACAATTAATTGGGTGATGTGTATAAAACACCAATGAAGAACAAAAAGTGGGAACTTATCAATAAATGATGTATGCAGCCATGAAGAAGAACGAAATGTTATCATTCGCTGGTAAATGGATGGAATTGGAGAACATCATTCTGAGTGAGGTTAGCCTGGCTCAAAAAACCAAAAATCGTATGTTCTCCCTCATATGTGGACATTAGATCAAGGGCAAACACAACAAGGGGATTGGACTTTGAGCACATGATAAAAGCGAGAGCACACAAGGGAGGGGTGAGGATAGGTAAGACACCTAAAAAACTAGCTAGCATTTGTTGCCCTTAACGCAGAGAAACTAAAGCAGATACCTTAAAGCAACTGAGGCCAATCGGAAAAGGGGAACAGGTACTAGAGAAAAGGTTAGATCAAAAAGAATTAACCTAGAAGGTAACACCCACGCACAGGAAATCAATGTGAGTCAATGCCCTGTATAGCTATCCTTATCTCAACCAGCAAAAACCCTTGTTCCTTCCTATTATTGCTTATACTCTCTCTACAACAAAATTAGAAATAAGGGCAAAATAGTTTCTGCTGGGTATTGGTGGGGGGAGAGGGAGGGGGCGGAGTGGGTGGTAAGGGAGGGGGTGGGGGCAGTGGGGAGAAATGAACCAATCCTTGTATGCACATATGAATAATAAAAGAAAAATGAAAAAAATAAATAAATAAATAAATAAATTCATTTAACAGGAAAAACAACAACAACAAAAAAAATATGATTCATATTCTCAAGACCATATGTTATAAAACAAATTACTCATATAAACTAAATTTCAGGAAAATACTCATTTTTGTCAAATGCAAATTTTACTTTCCAGTAGACTTCACTGTTGTCACTTTTTTATTTTATCTTATTTTTAAATTAGCATATATTAATAACATGAGAGGGTTTCACTGTGATAATTCCACAGATATGTTCAGTGTACTTTGAACATGTTAACCCCCTCCAATAAGGCAATAGCCTTATTTCCCTCCTCCTCCATTTTCAGAGTTTGGTGGGTTTGATTATGTTGTCTTGTTTTGTTTTGTTTTTGGCAGTACTGGGGTTTGAACTCAGGGCTTCACGCTTGCTAGGCAGGCACTCTACCACTTGAGCCACTCTACCAGCTCTTGATTATGCTGTCTTTATACAAATATATGTATGTATGTATTATTGTTGTTGTCATTTTAAAAATCATCATATTTGTTTGCATGCAAACCAAGCTCACCACGCTCTCCCTTCGCCCATGATTGGCACGATCAGAAGACACAATGCTTGCAGTATCATCATCGATAAACTACGGATATTAAACACAGACAATGTAAAACACTCCAATTCCTTATAAGCCTGACACATAATTACAAGCACATAATACAAACAACTCTATATAAGCATGATAATTGGCACAAGTTACTGTGCACCATTAAACAGAAAAGTTGCTACAAGGCATAACGGACTATTACTAAAAATAAAAACACACAAAGAAAAAGTAGAACTTTATCTTTTCAGTTAAACACAAGGGTAGGGCATGTGTAAACTAGCCAAAATCAGCTAAGGAGGTTAGCTTTTTAGACATCCAGATCCTTGGGATCATATTAGGGGTCAATAAATATATGTAATGCTTTAGTTTGGTAAAGAAAAATAAAAGAATATTTTAAATGAAATAATATATACCAAAGACAATTTCCTACCAGCAAGGACACTGAGCTGATGATTCATACTTCTCTTTATTCATTCCTATGCAGCTACTGGGGATGTTTCAAATATTACCCTACGTGGGGACAGACTCCTTGCTGCTTTACAGCAGATTTATCTCTGGTATTTGTAGCTTATCTCCATTCTGACATCACTAAGAAACTATTCTGGCATCACAAAAAGAGTAACTCTGAACCCAAGTAGCAAATAAAATAGGATCTAGCCAGCTCACAAGGACAATGATCTACACTTATTTGAAAATATATTATCAGATTGGTGAAACAAATCTATAATTCCAGCTACACAGGAGGCACAGGTAGGTGGACTGTAGTCAGAGGCCAGTCCCAGCCAAAACCACAAGAACTATCTGGAAAGTAACTAATGTAAAAAAGAGCTGGGAGCATGGCTTAAGTGGTAGAACACCTGCCTAAACAAGAAATGAGACCCTGAGTTCAAACCCCAGAACTGCAAAATACATGTATTTTTATTTATATAAATATATTAAAATATGTAACTGTGTGTGTGTATGTGTGTGTGTGTGTGTGTGTGTGTGTGTGTGTGTGTGTGAAATTTAGTTTGCAGGGAGCCACCACACTTGGTACATTAAAATGTTTCCAAGCCTGGAAATTGCCACACTGAATTTTATAACACAGTGGATAAAAACAAACTTCCTCCTCATATGAAAAAGCTTTTATGTCCTTAAACATCCCTGTGTTACTTTTTCTTGGTATACAAGTGGCATTTTGTATACCAAGACACTTGGAAATGGCAGAACTGAACCAAACATAAGTGTAAAAGAAAGCCTATGTAGTTCATTATTCTCCTTTACAAAGCAATCTTATTATTAGGAAACTGCCTTAGTAATCGTTTGTTCCAGTTTTCATATTATTAAAGATAACAAGGTAGTTCCTAAAGTCATCATTTGTCATTGGGAATGTAAAATAGTACAGTCTTTTTGGTTGTCAGTATGGCACTATATATCATAACTAAAATGCATATGCTCTTTGATCTAACCATTTCATGATACACATTTACCTTGCAGATCTACTTATGGACACTGATAAAAATGTTTATAGTACCAGTGTCTGTAGCAGCAAAACTCTGACAACCTAAATGTCCATTAATAGTGGAATGACTTTTAAAACGTCTATGCATTAATGGAATAATATATTGCATTTAAAAGAATGTGATGATATGAAACTTATCTCTTAAGAAGCATTACATAGAAAAAGTAAGGGATATGGCTTATTTAAAAACTTTTAATGTCAAAAAAAGAATGAAATAAATCTGCATGTACTGATATACAAATATAGTTTAAGGAAACACTGAGGAACAGTATATGCAGAATATGAACCCACTGTGTTCAAAATAAAAAGCACTCATGCATGTACAAAATATATCTGAAAGGGTATAAAAGAACAAAGCCATTTGGAGACTGGTCCAGGGACTTTTCCTTTGGATTCTTCCTTTACTAATATTATTTGTATAAATTGAAAAATAAATTTTAATACTCCAGAAATATTTTGATAATTAGAATTAGAACAATTTTTAAAGTGGGGACTAGGAGAGTGGCTCAAATGGTAGAGCACCTGCCTAGCAAGCATGAGGCCCTGAGTTCAAGCCACAATACCATCAAAAAAAAAAAAAAAAAAAAGTCCAAGGCTTTGCATCAAGTCGCTTGGTCATGCCTTGGGAATAAAAAAAATTTAACATTTGTAAAAAGATGCAAAGACCATATATATCTTTGGGCTGGAGGAGTGGCTCAAGTGGTAGACTTGCCTGACTAGCAAGTGTGAGGCCCTAAGTTGACAAAAAAATAAGTAACCCCCATATTGACAAAAATATAAGTAAATGCAGGAATGATAAAAGTGGTTTGTTTTACTTCTCCCTCCACTGACTAATTAGCACAGAAGGACTAATTAGCTATCAGAAGGGCTGATAGGTGAAATGGCACAGTGCAGAAAGCAACAAAGGGAAAGCTAGGGCAGCAAACCCAACTCTAAATTATCAGTATTGAAAAGGTGTTCACACAAACGACAACATAAAAAATTTAAAATTGCCTAAGTCCATTGTTCAAGACTCATTTAAAAAATTACATGCCAAGCCACATTCCTACAGAAACTATCAATTAGGACAAATTAGTATGTGATTTTGTAGACTTAGGGAGCACCATACTCCATGCACAAGATAGTGAAACACACCGTATCTTCAAAATCCTGAACTGTGAGTACAGGTTAATGAAACAACCAAAAGTTCCTATAAAGCATGCCAAGAAACTAGATAGCTCACCACAGGACTGCTTCGGGCAGAACTTATTCTTGATGAGTAATAACTGTATTCAGATGGCTATAAAGATTCCAAGAAGAAAGGCTTTACAATAATATCACAGCTACTTTTTCTAATTAGTGACCCTTGACCTTGATTCCCAGGGTGCAGGTAACTGTTTCACTCTGGTCTAGCACTCCAACCCTCAGGATTCGCTAGTCCTTGATAAGAGGGAGAGGAGAGGAAGGGGATGCCCTGCGAAGCACTGCACAACACTTCTTTAGGAGGAATTAAGGGGCAAGAGAAGAGGTTTCTTTTCTTACTCCCCTCATACTTTAACCCATAATTTTCAGCAGGCACTCTTGCACTGCTTGGGTGAGAGTTTCACAACTAGATAGCTAAATGAACGGGTCACATTTTGTAGTGTAAGTGTATGTCAGATTACATGACTTTTTTCTTTGTAAACAAGCTATGACCTCCTACATCTCCCCGACTTAATGAATTCCACATTTAGACTTACTGTTCGAGAACCATAAGGGTTATTTAGTCCACCATCATACAATGATGCCTAAAGACCAAAAGAAATACCATTTATCTATTAAGCATCAAAGTTACTTTGAAAGTAACTTTTTTTGCAATAATCAGTTCCCCCCAGAATTTTGAAGACTGATGTAAGTATATAACTTCTCAAAGAAAAGACTCTGAAAACGGTAACTCCCATTTATGTACACAAATTGCTGTATCAGTCTCATTATAATTTCAAGATCACCATTTATTTTAAAACAACACTGGTTAATAGCATTTTTTCACCATCATATTATAAAACTAGGATAACATTAATTTATTTTCTCAAAAGAGGAAACAGAGCAGAAAAGGAAACAGGTTCAGAGCACATTTTGCCCACTGCCACAAAATTAAGCTAATAAAACCTCAGGGTTCTAGTCCACTGGCAGAGCCACACACAACAAACAATAGCTGGAAGCAACCAACTAACAACTCACACAATACACAAGGCTATTGCTTTGGCTTTTCTAGCCTGCTTGCTTATTAGAATTTAAATTAGCATGGTCAAGGTCACAGCTACCCCAAATAAAAATATGGCAATCATTACATGGTCAGCCATTTCATCAATGTGGTAGAACCCATGTGAGTCTATCTTCTTTGTAGGAAACAGGTTCTAAACATGGGCTACCAATAGTCAGTAGTTTCTACCTCAGTGAAGAGAACATGCTTATTTGTTAAATTTATTTATTTATTTTTATTTCTTTCCCATTTTTATTAAGACATATTCATTGTATATAGGGGTCTAATTGTAACAAGACCAAATAGCCTTACATTGTACACTAGTTAGACTGACCCCACCATCTGCACCCCCCTAACATGCTTATTTTAAATGTCCTAAAGTTCTGTATCTTAAGACAGGCAGCACATTCTGCAGTACACATGGCATTAAAGCCACATATCAGTGATTATTCTGGAGGAAAGCTGTCAAGCCACAGAGTTAGCACGGTGGCCCCACTAGCAGTGCACACAATGAAAGAGGAAAATACAAACCAGACTGGTACTTCTCAGCAGACCAGAATTTGCAGTAAGGGAGGCCTATGAAAAAAGTGCATTATTAAACCTGCAGAAAAGGAAGTGATAGATCTGAAGGCAAAACACTTCTTAGAAAGTACTAACCCTTTTACTCTTAGATGTTGCCAAAGGGTCACTGTAGAGGGAAGAAGACTGCTAAGAAAGAAAAATGAAACAAAATAAGTAAGCCAAAAAACAAAGCAAAGAAGAACTGGTCTCACCATAATGACAGCAGAAGACTTAACTTTATGCTTTTACATGCCATAATTCATTAGCAACCCCTGAGTACTTAAGGTAGTTTAGAAACACATGAAGTAAGAAAACTTGACATTGGAAATCTTTCTGAATGCCAACTGTAAGGCATAAGGAAAGGAAACACTTGGAAGAGTCTTCAATAAATACATCTATTTTATATGGGTCTTTGAAGATTACTGTTAGGATGTGAGGTGGGAATCTAAGAAACACTGACGAAAAGAGGGCCATGGCACAGGAAGTGTGGTAAATGGTAGCCATATCCCAGCCACCAGCAACTCCTGTGATAGGTACACTCAAGGGCGTATATGAATTCAGTTACCAAAAACAGGTATATATACTGCAACTCACAGATTAGTTACAAATAGTCAAAGTGCAAATTAAGGGATTAAAAGTATGCTACCCAAAGAACTTCAGACAAACCCGAGAGCAGTAGGAAGAGGTGGCTTTGCTATGTCTAAGACTGCTATAATTCCTCGGGTCAAAGTAGAGGCCACTCTGCAAAAAGCAAAATTAAACACATTTTTCTTAGGTTAAATGTTTTTGACCTAACAACACATAAAGATTAATATTTAAATACACAAAGAAAAAATGTGACACAAAGAAAAACTTCCTTCCTCTCAATGTCTTTAAAGTATTGATTCATATTAAAGATAAAGTGAAAGTAACAATTATTTCAAATTTCTTTAAAAAGGCTGGTATTAAATTTTAACTCTTTCAAACTAAGTCATAACTTATTTTTACTTTAAAACCAAGACAAACACTCAGATAAATGCAATGGAAATAAGTTTATTCTCATGTCATACTTAAGAATGTAGGATAGCTAAATAATTACAACTTTTATAATCCATTTGGTAAAGTCAGAGAAATGATTAAAAACAGTTCCAGAGTGTTCCTAGTTCCATTATTTGTCAAAATAAACTGAATAAATTATGATACAGGAGAAAAAGAGAACACACTAAATATGGTTTGGTCTAAGTCATCTATGGCAGGTTCACTATAGAAAAACAACCATTTTACACAATTTGGTTACCTGAAGGAGTGAAATCTATAAAATTCCCTTTTCAACTTCTTTCGTCATCTTTTTCACTCTAAGTTAAGCAAATGTATGCAATCTCTGACTTGAAGTCTTCTTTTTCCACTGGTGACAATGTACTCAGGGATACCCCTACCTCCTACCTTTACTCTTGGCCCTGCCTTCCTGCATCACTGCCCACTCATACCCATACCCTCAACTAGGCATCATGACTTGCCTCTCTCCAGAATTCCCAATACCTCATCTGGTGAAAAGTAACCTAAGGGAAATCAAAATCAGTCAACTTGTCAAAGTGGGGAAGGATGAAGAGGATGCAAACAATAATTTAAAGGAAGTGATGGTTTTGAGATCAGAGCAGCTAAATGAAGCTTCTTAAAGGCAAAAAAAAAAAAACTAGGGACTATGCATTGTTACTTTAGAGGGGAATTCTCTCTATGGTCACCTTTTAAAAAACCTAAAAAAAATTAGGGAAGCAGTGAGGAACAGCCCCCACCCCCCGCCAGACTTAGCAAAGCTTACCAATCACAGGAATCTCTCTACAGGGAGAGGCCTGAAAACTCCAACTGGGAAGAACTCTCAAACTTAGATTCCATAAGATAAAGAGTCTAGGAAAGAGACCTCACCTTATTCTCAGGGTAGGAAACATGGAGCTCAGAAGCTGTAACTTCCTTATAACCTCATAAATGAAAATACCTCACTGATGAGCTTCTTCACGCAGGCAAAGTAAGTGCTCTACCATTTGAGCCACATCTCCAAGTCCATTTTGCTCTGGTTACTTTGGAGATGGGGTGTCACAAAGTATTTTGATGGTGCTGACCTCGAAGTGGCCTCAAACTACAATCTTCGCCTCAAAGTGGCCTCAAACTACAATCTTCACGGTGTCAGCCTCCCATGTAGAATTATAGGTGTGAGCCACCAGCACCCAACTATTGATGATGAGCTTCTTGTCAGACCATACTAACCTAACTCTAGCCCCTATAGTTATTATATGATAATCTGCTATTAAATCTTGCAAATAAAAACAAAATTATTTTAATAAGGTTCTTATAAATCATGTTTCACCCTATTATTGACTTTTAATAATGCCTTAGGAGCACACCAAAGTACTCTTCTTAAGTTACCTACAAGCAATCAGTAAGTTATGATGCAAGACAGTGAAACTAACCAGTGGGTCTTTGTAAGAACCAGAAGATCTCTTCATCCCATAAGAGTGACTGTAAGAATGATTCTGGAAGTAAATGTTTTAAGTTACCTTTAATGATTGCATTAAAAGTTTTTTAATTAATTTAATAAATTCATCTTAAAATTATGCACACAAAGGTTTGTATGAGATACAGAGTAGTCTGCATGCAATCTACTTCCTACCTGTTAGCAAATGATTCATTGCACTTGCATAGTTAAAATATGTGGCCTCTCTACACATCTTCATCTCCCTAACTTCTCAGGGGCCAGCACCCAGCTTACTGTCTGAGCAGCTTAAGAAAACCTAATTGAGACTTGAAACCAGCAGGATATTTGTAGGGACCTTCGCCCCACATCTTGAGTCTCTTTATCTTCTTTATAAAGTTATAGGTGGCAAGAGTCTACCTCGCCTATAGTCTTCTTATCTAAAAGCCAAAAGCAATCCTTTGGATTAACCAAAACATACTGAAAGCATAAAAAACATATCATTTCATTGTCTAAGACAGTATGCCTAAATCAAGTTACAGGTCCCATATCATTTTCTCCTCAGGAGTAAAAGAGGCAAAATAGTATGGATTGCCCAGTGAAGCAATAGCAATATTAAACAGTCACTTTATACAAGAGTCCTGTGAAGACAAGACTTTAAATACATAACTTCTCCTAAGAGTAGAGAGCCAGGTGTATGTATAAAGGAGGACAGAGAATAGTAATATTGCTAAACAGGTTAATGGGCATATAACAAGTGCCCAATTAGCAGCCAAAGACAATAGGCTGTCTGCTCTAGAAAAATCATCATATATTTATAGCTAGATCCTGAACCAATAAGTATAAGCTCATTTTTTTAAATGCATTTTTTTTAAGGAAATACTAGGGTTTGAACTCAGGGTCTCCTGCTTGCTAGGCAGGTACTCTACCACTTAAGTTGCACCCTCAGCCTTTTGTTTTGCTTTATACTTAGTTTTCATATAGGGTCTTATGTTTTTGGCTAGGGCCAGACTCAAACCACCATGCTCCTCACGTTGTTAGTTGAGAAGAGGTCTCACTAACTTTTTGCTCAGGATAGCCTGGAACCACAATCCTCTTAATCTCCACCTCCCAAGTAGCTAGTATTACAGGCAGGCACCACCACACCCAGCCAATTAGATCTTTCCTTTTATACATTACTGTGAACATATTAGGAGCTGTCTATGTAGTCTAGAATCTGTATATAGTATTAACCCATGGAAAAACAAGCTACATAGTTTGACTTCCATAGCTAGTATTACATGACAAATCAAGCCAAAATGCTTCATCATCATTTATGTTTTAGGTGTCATTTATCATTGCTGGATGTTTTCTTTAGTGATCTCATACCTGCTAGCTTATGACACATAGCATGAAACAGTTAGGCCTATGCTAGTGGAGCTCAATGTGGATCAAAACACTTTGTTAAAAATGTCTTGGAGCAAAGACCAAAAATCGTATGTTCTCCCTCATATGTGGACATTAGATCAAGGGCAAACACAACAAGGGGATTGGACTTTGATCACATGATAAAGTGAGAACACACAAGGAAGGTATGAGGATAGGTAAGACACCCAAAAAACTAGGTAGCATTTGTTGCCCTCAACGCAGAGAAACTAAAACAGATACTTTAAAGCAACTGAGGCCAATAGGAGAAGGGGACCAGGAACTAGAGAAAAGGATAGTTCGAGAACAATTAACTTAGAAGGTAACATACATGTACAGGAAATCAATGCAAGTCAACTCCCTGTATAGCTATCCTTATCTCAACTAGCAAAAACCCTTGGTCCTTCCTATTATTGCTCATACTGCCTCTTCAACAGATAAGGGCAAAAGAGTTTCTGCCTGGTAGGGAAGGGATGGTGGCGGTGGGCCGGGGTGGGGGGGGGGCAGATGACCCTTGGAGCACAAGAAATGTGTACGGTGAGTAGCTTGGCACTTTACAAAAAAATTTTACTACCAAATTTAGTCTGGAACAGGAAAGCAAATAATTTTAATGTGATCCTGAATTCTAGCTCTTACATTATGTTTCTGATATGCTTTGAGGGTTCTCATTTTGTTCTGTTTTGTGCAATGCTAAGGATCAAATTCAGGACCTCAAACATGCTGCACTACCATTAAGTCACACTCTTAGCCACTGATCTAACATTCTAAAGGAAAATAATTTTATTGAAATCATAAACAACTGCAAAATAACACTTTTTCCTTTATTAGATATAATTTTCCCCCAAAAGATAAGACCATGAAAAGTTAGTCATAATCTATGATTAGCAACAACAGGTGTTTGTAAAGTAAAACTGCACACTTAACACAAAGTCATGCATTACATACTAGTGACGAAACTCTTGATGATTTATCCTTGAGAGTATCATACTGGATTTCAGAAAAAGATGAAAGTTGGTTGTATTTCCGAAGTCAGGGATATAAAAGAGGGAAAAGGCAATATTTGCAATTATTAAAAATCCAGCACTACTTTAAAAGCAAAAAAATTATTAAACACAAAAGCTATTTCATTTCAATTAAAAAATATTCTCCTATTGCTTCTTAGTATGAGTCATTATTAAAACTGTATACAAATTTAAAACTGTATGTTTACAGCTAGGGTGGGCATGCTTCAAGCGGCAATGTGCTTGCCTAGCAGGCCTGAGGTCCTGGGTCCAACCCCAAGTATGACAAAAATAAACAAACTTTCTGTTTGGAGCTGGGCATGATGCTAATAATAATTTAAAAAACACACAAAAAAGTCCATACCTGTATGTCTCCCTCTCTTCCTTTTTTTTTTTTTTTTTTTTTTCCAGTACTGTGTGGATCAAACCCTGGGCCTTAAACATGCTACGCAAGCCTTCTACCACTGAATTATATGTCCAACCCCTAGTTTTCTTTCAAATAACAAACATCATAATCAGTAATGACAAAATGACTCAATCTTAGTACACTGTGGCACAAAACAGCCTAAAGGAGCCTTTAAATGTAATTAAGCATTCTGAAGTTAAAGATGCTTTATCTCTTGTTATTGTGACAATTACTGTCTTTTCCCATGGTTTGAAAAATGGCAAAAGCAAAAAATGAGGCAATGCAGCAAGAATATATAACAAATATAATCAAGCTTACGAAAGCATAATCACTGCATCAAAATGAGAGCATTTCCTTGGATCTACCTGCAAACACACACTTGAAAAACTTCAAGAAAATGCTGAACAAAATGAGAAATTTGGTCCAAGCAAAATGCTGAATGTACTATATGCATACAAATGTGACATAAAAGGTAAATCAAGGAAAAATATGCAAAATTAATGATAAAACCAGCAAAACCCACATTTCATATAGGGTGCTTTAATATGCATGATGTCATATTTCAAATCTAAGAAAATGAATTAAGTAGTAAGTAGACAGAAAGACTTGTGGTTTCTTAGCATTGTTTCTTAAGCATTCTAGCTTGTATTTTTAAAAACAATCTTGTCAAAAAAGGCAACATATAAAACAAGTAAGGGCAATGATGTTCTTCTGAGAGTATAAATACTAATTGTTTGGTAAAAATCTTCTACAACTATTCCCTTTTGTTTTCCTAAGTATAGGTTGCAACTCATTCACAAAATCAATTTCATGGTTTCAACCAGCATTTTAAAAATGACATAGAATTCAAGTGTGGGTGGCTCACACCTGTAATCCTAGCTACTTGGGAGGCTGAGCTCAAGAGGATCATGGTTCGAGGCCAGCCCAGGCAAATAGTCTACAAGACCTTATCTCTGAAAATAACCAGACTGGAAGAATGGCTCAACCAGTAGAATGCCTGCTTTAGAAGTGCAAAGCCCTGAGTTCAAGCCCTGTCCTGCCCCACCAAAAAAATGAAAAAAATAGAAAATATTGAAGAGTGTTGTACATAGTAAGACTTACTTTATTCTGTGAGGCTGAGCATGGTGGTGCATGCCTGTAATCTCAGCAATTGAGAGGCTAAGGCTGGAGGATCATGAGTTTGAGGCCAGCCTATGCTATGTAGTGAAACCCTGTCCTCCTCCCAAAAATTTAAAACAAACAAAAAACCATATATATGTACATATATGCATATATATGTTTAATTTTGTGCAAGCATATACTGGATCATGGTATAAAATGTGTTTCTTCTAGAGAGCATAATTTTCAAAGCTTTAATATATACTAGAAGACCAGATTATACAACCTAGTACTTAATAAGGCATTAAAATAATAGTTCAAAGCAAAATCTGTCCCTTCATACTTAATGAGATGATCATTTACGAAATTTACAGCAGAAACCTCAAAAAATGTATTTCACATAGTATAAACCTAAGTGGTACAATTTTACCACCAGTATAAATTCACTGGAATGTTATCACAGTAAATACCAAAAAGTATGGGAGCAAAATATCTGCATTTGTGTACTTTTCTTAAATTGTCCTGAAACCAAATCAAGCAATCATGTTATTATTACATGAATAATAAAATCTTGTTACAAATTTTTCTCAAGTGCATAAAAGTGAGCATTTGGCAAATGGTACAATAGTAAAATGTGTCTATGTATTAAGTGCCCTTTTCCTGAAAATAAAGTTCCTTCTCTATAGAAGTTTCATTTACTTCTTTTCTCAGTTAAAAGTATCTCTTTTTAACTCTTTTGTTAAAATTTAAAGTAAAAAAATGGCCCAACACATATTACTTGAGTCACACATTCTTTCAGGTAAACTGCCCTATCTTCCCAACAAGGTAAGTTACTAAAAAGAAAGTCGTGTATTATGTCTTCCCATTCTCTCTGTAGTACCAACAGCATTTTACAGCCATATGTTTTAACAAATTGAATCAAAATTAACCTGTTTCAATTTTCTTTCTCCAAAATATAATGCAGAGTAGAGCCGGTTTTTAAAACTGCTGAATATACCAGACAAGGAAAGCTGGACAAATCAACTGCTGCTAGAACAACTGGGCAAACAAAAAGAAGCTTCCTCAGTAAGTGAAAATTGGTTTTATGTGGTTTAAAAGCAAATAATTATCAAAAGAAGGGAAATTGAGAGTATTAAGGATTCTGGCTAAAACATTTCCAAATCTGCTATTATAACCTATTTAAAAGAAAAAAAATTTAACTCTCAGAGAAACTTGCCTGAAAGTTTTCAAAGGGAAATAAAACAGAAAGTACTGCAAAAGGGTTTTAGAAACAAAGTTTGGTAAGTGTCAGTCTTTGCTAAACTGTACCTCTGACTCAAATTTCCAGGACACTGAAAATCAATAATGAATGCATAAAACTCATTTTTCTTTATTACACACCATCATGTTTCTCCTTTTGGATGTACTGGCTCTGCTCCAATGTGTCCCAGTAATATCCTTCGATGGGCTCTTCAATGAAATTAAACAGTATAGTAGTAAATGACAAAAAAACTGCAAGTATATTGCAAAAACTAAATCCATTAAAATTATATCAAGGCCACTGATATTACATATATACATTATATTATATGTGATATGACATGTATCACATATCATATATATAAACTAAATACACAGAACAGCAGAAATCTCTACCAAAGAGAAATAGTAATTATCCCAACTACTGTAATCCAAGAATACTTCATCTTCTAATTTTGGATTGTACCTTACTGTCTTCTTGAGCCTCACTATATAAACCACTAACCAAGCACTTGTAAGATGTTTTTAAAGGCAGTCACTGATGTTCTACACTATTAATGATCTAATATACACATAATTACAAACAGAGATTATTTCAATTCTAAGTTCAGGGCTGGATGATTTAATTCTTCTTCCCCCAACTCTTACCAGAGTCTTGAACTACCTTTTAATTTTTACACTTAAAATCTATAGCATTTATACCAACACTTCCAGCCCAAATAGCTTCTGGCAAGTCACCTTTCAACAAAATAATATGTAGCCACGTGCTGTAATCCTAGCTATGCAGGAGGCAGAAATCAGGAGGATCCTGGTTCAAAACCAGTCTCAGGCAAATAGTTCTCCAGATCCTATCTTGAAAATACCCAATGCAAAAAAGGGCTGGTGGAGTGACTCAAATGATGAGAGTGCCTGCCTAGAAGCATAAGACTCTGAGTTCAAACCCCAGTACTGCAAGAATAAAATAAAATAAATTATAAACAGAGCACCAGTGGCTCACACCTATAATCCTAGTTACCTGGCGGGGCTGAGATCGGAAGGATCAAGGTTCAAGGCCAACCAAACAAATAGTTCATGAGACCCCATCTCCAAAATAAAAAGCAAAACAGACTATTGGTTTGGCTCAAGTAGTAGAATACCAGCTTTGCAAGTTCAAACCCCAGTCCCACCAAAGAAAAATACATAAAAAATAAAACAGGAAAAAAACTTATCTCAATTATATTTCTCTGCATCAATGTATGAGTGATCTTTCAGACATTTCTGGAAAGTCTACACATCTAAAAAGTGTTTACTGTGTATAATTACAGACAGTAAAGTACTGGAATCTCCTCTAGGGTGTAAAAGTTATTAACCTTCAAGTTTACACACTGATTTTTTGTTTGTTTTTTGTAATGCTGGGAATGGAACTCAGGGCCTATACCATATCCCAATTAAGTGCTCTACCCTAGCTACAACCTAAGCCCTCACACACTAGCTTTTAAAAATACTGGGAGCTTTACTCTATCCACTAGAAATAAATTTTCATAATTTCTATAATGAAAAAATAATGGAAGGTGATGCCAGATGCCAGTGGCTCACAGCCTATAATCCTAGCTACTCAGGATACAGAGATCAAGAGGATCTAGATTCGAGGCCAAACCAGACAAACAGTTCGAAAGACCTTATCTGGAAAATGCCCAACACAAAAAGGGGCTGGCAGAATAACTCAAGTGGTAAAGTGCCTACCTAACAAGTATGAGGCCCTGAGTTCCAAAACCCCAGGACTACCAAAAAATAAAAATATAAATATAATGGAAGGTAAAAATTACATCTCAAATTTATTTAATGGTACAATTTTCATTAAAAGATAATCTTAATATTTTATAGACACTAGGTAAATGGTAGATTCCTTGTATGCTTATTTACAGATTTGTTTTACAGGCTTCTAGAGAGGTTATACTGTAAGGTAACTAATAAAATCAAGGTCATATATATATATATTTTTTCAAATAATCAGCTTGATAACAAGTGTTAAAACTCATACTATTAACATTATAATAAAAAGGAAAGGATACAGCCATAAATAAAAAATGGAGGTGGGATTATTTTCACCGCACTTCACACTCAAAGGCTTTGAAGCCTATGCTGACTTGCTGTATGATTCAAGTACACCCAGGGGAAGCATAGCAAATTTGTAAGTTTTTCTCCTAAAAAAATAAAATCACTTTTAAACCACTGATTACTTTAAATCTGTTAATACCCTTAAAATCTAAAGTTTGTAACTAGCCAAAATATTTTTTATTCAAAAACCAGTTTAAAAACTTACTCTAGGGCTCACCCCTATAATCCCAGCTACTCAGGAGATAGGGAACAAAAAGAATTTTGATTTGAGCCAAAAACAAAACAAAAAAAGTTAGCCAGATACCATCTCAACCCATAGCTGGATGTGGTAGTACATGCCTGTCATCCCAGCTATGCATGAAGTATAAACAGGAGGATCCTGGTCCAGGCCAGCCTGGGCATAAACATGAGACCACATTTGAAAAATAACTAAAGCAAAAAGGGTTGGCGGTGTGATTCAAGTGGCTGAATGCCAGCTTGGGAAACACATGTCCCTGACTTCAAAACCCGAATACTGCCAGGAAAAAAAAAAAAAAAAAAAAAACCTTATTGTAAAAAGACTGTGGATTACATTCACTGAAAGAAAATAAGTGTGATGGACTATTTATGAATACAAAATGTCAGTAACCAGTATGTCAGAACACATTCAGTTTATCCTAGTGTATTTTATACATGACATAAAGTAGAAGGAAAATTAAGAGTTGGAGGAAACTAACAAATACAGACTCTATCATAAAAGATCATTTTACCGTTGAAAAACGTAGATGTAAATGTATGTTCATTATTATCACTATGCAAATGGAAAGCACTGCTTAAAGGTTTAAAGCACAATTCTTTTTTTTTTTGGTGGTACTGGAGTTTGAACTCAGGGCCTCAAGCTTGGTAGGCAAGCACTCTACCACTTGAGCCACTCCACCAGCCCTAAAGCACAGTTCTTTAAGAAAAATCAGTGTTTCAGCATAATATGCATGCCTTTACAGAGCAAATTCTCATTTATCTAAACTTGTAACAATCTAGACTAAAAATCTGGGGCATTCTATAAAATGTTGAAAATGTCAGAGCATAATTCCTATACATATGACCTGCAAAGAATCTTTCAAATCAATAGCTCAGTGTTTCCATGTAATAAAATTGCAATTAATCAGGCAAATCCCAAACCTATTTTCCATTTAATAAACTGTCATTTTATAAAACATGAAAGTAGGAAATTACAGCCAATCAGGAGTTATTCTGCAAAATCAATCCTATTACTTTGTGATAGTTTTCTGAAATCAAAGGATCTTCTACAGAAAGATTATGTTAATAGATGAAAATATTTAAGATCTTAGAATTGATTTACTTATAGCAATAATTAGAAGGAAAGCATCAATAATTAGAAGGAAAGCATCACTTTCCAATTAAAGAACTTTGGGAATGTTTTCTACATTTAAAAAAAAAAAGCAAAGGAATAAATAAGCATTGTCAGATTGTTCAGATAATTGTTGATTGTGAAGAAAGCTCCCATCTATAAACTTTGATACTGTGATTGGTAAACAACTTAAAATACTAACCCCGTGACTGCCAAGACTGCAAAGGGGCAATGTATCCTGATCTCTCTGATAAAAAATACAAACAAACAGTAAAAAAGTTTGTGAGTGACTACATAAAGTCATGAGGAAAAGCATTAAGGGCAAGTTTATAGGTTATTACAAACCAGGTAATGACGATGATGACTGGACCGGTGGGAATACCTGGCCCTTTCCGAATCTTCCTAGGAAAGGAGAAAGTACATGGAAGGTTAATCACTGAACAGTTGTTAAACAAGGGAGCAAAGAACAGTCAGTTAGCAGCACTGCAACATTTTCTTAGAACAAGCAGGTTTGGAACATTTAGCTTCAAAACCTCAGTTTGCTGCAGTCACATGCTTTTGATGGAAAGAAAGTAGAAATAATCTTGAAAAATATTTTAGAGTTGGTTAAAATTATGTTGAGTTATGCATTAAGCAGTTTGTAAAATAGACTGCCCACCACCTAGCAGGTAATTAAATCACATGAAATTCTAAACTTTTCCACACTGAGCTATCAGCAATGGAGCATTAAAACCTGAGTCATGTGACCCCAGAACATAATCACCTGAAAGTATAAGGAATTTTTCATCTTTCAGAAATTCAAAGTCCAACTTTCTTCTCTGCATGTCCAATTCCTTGCTATTAATCAAGACTTGGATTAGTCACCACTTACAATTTAAGCCTCTGACCAAAACTGCTCCCCTTCTACATAAACCTAGCACTTTCACTACTTAAACTGCATACATATCACTGAATTTTTAAAAGATTATTGTTTATCTTCTCAGCCCTTGAACAAAGAAATCAAATACTTACACTTTTAGTATATGCTTTCCTGCTTCTTTAATTTTTTTGGTCTGTCCTAAGATACTAAAATATCAGGCAGTTTAACTTTAGAATTATAATGCATATCTAGCTTGGTGGTTCACAGCGGTAATCCTAGCTACTCAGCAGAGATCAAAAGGATTTCGGCTTGAGGCCACCCCACGACAAAAAGTTCACGAGACACCCTCCCCCAATCTCAACCAACAAAAAAACTGAGCGTGGTGGTACACCCCTGTCATCCCAGTTATGCAGGAAGCATAAATAAGGATGATCATGGTTCAGGCAGCCAGGGCATATAATGCAAGACCCTATTAAGAAAAATAACTAAAGCAAAATGGGGTGAAGACATGGCTTAAGCGTAGATCACCTGCCTGGCAAGCACAAGGTCTTGAGTTCAAACCCAAGTACTACTAGAAAAATTATAATGTATAATTAAAACAAATTAATGTTTCCATGTAATTTGTATGTGCATTGTTGTAGTAGTAGGGATTGAACCCAAGGCTTTATACATACTAGGCAAGCACTCAGCCACTTGAGCTATGCCCTCACCATCCATGGAAACTTTTCAAGTCATTTCTTATATTTGCACAAAATATTCTTAATGCATAATCAATAGTCTAACTCAGTTACATGCAGAAGATACATTAAATAAAATTACATTAAACAGATTCCACTCCAAAATAACAAACATATACATGAGAAGCCGCTTAGTTTTAATTACATTAAAGAGATTCCACTCCAAAATAACAAACATATACATGAGAAGCCGCTTAGTTTTAAGTTACCAAGCATCTTTTTCTCTTTTTATAAAATACTGTCACTTAGACAAAGTTTCAAAGTCATAGGTCATCACAGTCGCAAATACTTTAATTCTGGTTGTACCTTAAAATGCTGCTATAGAAGGGATTTGCTATCAAAGCTGCTTGTTTAGCATCAATTAAGACAGGGATTCTTAACTCTTTGGGAATCACAGACTTTGAGAATCTGGTGAGAAAAATATCTGTGAGCATTTCCCATGAACATATACATAACTACAAACCTTCACATGAGATTTTAAGGCTTCATACTCTACCTCCCAAGCCTAGTTATATACTGAGTTCAGAATCTTGCAATAGTAGACAATTGGGGAACTTATCAACCTTGGGGGAAAAAAGGCCAAATTTAGTAGTGATTTACAATAACTAATATTCTGCTGGCTAACAATTTCTTTTTGTAGCTAACAAATTTGGTTGTGGTGATAGAGGACTTGAGAAGGAGCTAAGAGAGTTGCCACAGTTCAGAGGGCAAGGCAGAATGACTCAGGCATCTTCCAATGAAGACCTTGTGAACTCATTTTTTTAAAAGGGGGGAGAGAGAAGAGAAAGGGGAGGACTTGAGGGGAAAAAAAGAACAAACCCATGAAAAGAAAACATATTCATTTACTCAACCTTTCTTGATCAGGGTTCTTGACCACAACAGAAAATGGCTGGAATCCAAGAATATATTTGATCCATTATAGATAGAATAGATACTCTCTGACCTTTAAATTCATACAAGCCAAACACTTCTACTTTGCAAGCTTTTAGTTAATGTTTTATTTCAATACTGCATTATTTCAGCAACTTCTCATAACATGCAGGACAGGCAATCCTGGCCTACCAGCCACTTCTGAATCTGTCCCCATTTCCGGTCAAAGGAATGATGAGAGGGCTATAAATGCAAAGGTTTCACAAACTTAATGCTTTCCAACATACTACATTTTCTAAAAATTCTTAAGTTAATCAGATATATTTACCCTAGAGAACAATGGTAGGTGATACAAAATTACACTTTCAAAACTTAGGAAATTGCTAAGCTAAATATGTTTAATAATAAAAAGATGTATGCAGTTTAGATGACCACAAACAAACATATTTAATAACTGTTCTACTTATTATTTAGTATAGTCTTGGAAGTATAAAAGACAATGCACTGCTACATTTATATTTCAAGTCAAAAACTGCATTCAATATTTCAAACAATACATAAGGTAAAAAAAATTAGCAACATCAACAGTTTTTGTCTTATTGAACTGTGACAACACAGAATACATAAATTTCTCAACAGCAAAAAATCTACCACTGGACTGATGGAGTGGCTCAAGAGTGCCAGCCTCATAAGTATGTGGCCCCAGTACCACCAAAAAAAAAAAAAAAAAAAAATCTACCAACATCAAAATAAAGTACTTAATACTGCCCCACAGATGTTTCCCTCTTTGTACTAATACAGTATCAAAAACATTTTAATAAGAATTCAGGACTGACTCAATGCCAAAAAGAAAGGGTTGGACTGGTGGAGTGGCTCAAGTGGTAGAACTCTTGCCTAGCAAGCCTGAAGCCCAGAGTAAAAACCCTAGCACGACCAAAAAATAAATACATAAAAAAAGGTAAGAGAGTGTTTTTGTTTTAATCAGCCCAAGTTCTATATGTGTATTTTTAAATGTTTTTGCTGCTTTTCTTTCTGATGACAAAATCATACTAAAAATCTGTAAACTACAGAAATGCATAAGAAAGTAAAACCAACAATAACTTCAACAAACCAAAGTACTGACAGCAATTACTTCTTTACAGTAGTTTTTGATCCAATAAATGGATGTTTTGGTATTTTGTGGGTTTTTTCTTTAAATTGGTATCCTACCAATTTTGTACTTTTGGTTTGTTCTTTTTTTTCCCCCTTTTCTTGCATGAATATTTCTCTTCCCTAAATATGCTTCAAAATTATAAGATTTAGTTTTCAGCTAGCTAACCACAGGAAGTTGAAGTCCATTGCTATGTTTCTGCCTAGACCTGAACATAATCATGTCAAGACCTTCCATTCCAAAACCTCCCAGCTCCACCCCAACTCAGGGTGAAGCAGCCAGAACACAGACATCAGCCCACATCCCATAGAACTAGAACAAAGGATTGACAGAAGGGAATGTAACAGTGCACATGCAAACCATATTTATATTATAAATATGAAAATACAGAAAAAATGTCCAGAACAAAAAACTTATAAATTTGGTTATTTTGGAGGAGGAGAATTAGGATTCAAAGTGATAAACTGGGGACTTTAGTTTTTGTCCCCTTGCCCAACCTTTCTCTAATCTCCAAACACTCCATTTTTTTTCCCACATGATATTCTCTATAAGCTCACTCCTAATCTTGTGTTCATATGAACTGCTTTATCTAAAAAGAAAACGTAGACACTGGCTCCAGTAAGATCCAGATGACTTTCAAAAAGAGGAAAAGATAGTGCTCTGAAAAGCAACACCCAGCCTACAGGGATTTCCATCCCATTGTCTCACTATAACCTCTAGCATCCCATAAAAGCCCTTCTTTGATGGCACTTTCTGAGCCCTAGGAGATGGAGACTGGAGATGGAAAGGTCTCTTCCATGGTCCTCAGCCTGGGTATTTCCCTTCCATTGTCTTACTGTAACCTCTCGTATCCCATAAAAGCCCTTTGATGGCACATCCTGAGCCCTGGGAGATGGGAATTTGGAAACAGAGAGATTGTCATGGTTCTCAGCACCAGTCTTGAAAACCTGTTTCCTACACACTACATATATATATATATGTAGTGTGTGTGTTTGTGTGTGTACAATGGAGTAACTTTATGATGTTTTGCTATATAGATTTCATAATCCAAATTTTAGGAGATTTAAGGCTATACTAAATAATTTTGTCATCTCTAAGTCTACATCAGCTAATATAAGTAAAGCACCTACAACACTATAATAACTTAAAACAGTAAGAGTTATCTATGTGTTATTATTTAAAACAAATGTCATATTAATTTGTTGATATACAATGGCTTGTTAAAATACATACATCAGTTTAGATTATTCCAGTGTTTCAAAAGGAACCAAATTAACATCAGAATCAAACTAGACAGGTATGATTTGCAGGGGCACAGACATGAAATTATGGTTTTCCCTCAAAATTACCTCCTTTTGTTGTCGTTCCAATTCTCTCATGCGTATGTCTCTTGCTTCTGCCCGGGCAGCCCGTTTTGCTGCCAGCCTTGCCTCTGCCTGAAAAGTAATATAAAATTCAGCTTTATAAAACAAGAACAACCTGAATACCAGACTTGAGGATAAGGAGCAATGGGACATATCTTCCAAAGGGAGTTGGGAAGACAAGATATATCAACAAATTTGACTAACTTCTTCAGTTCATTTCTTTCCAAGTCCCCAAATCTCTTTTTAAATCTGGGCCATAATCTTTAACTGTTTGCCTTGATTACACATTTTACACATTTCACACAGTTCTTTATGTATCTTGCCAAATTTGCTCTTTTTCTACCATCTTTCCCTATCAAGTCAACCATACAAACTAGAAACTTTTAAGATCCAGATGCTATTTCATTTTGAGTATTGCCAATATTCAGTCTCTATGAATGTCAATTCTCTATCATTATGTATCATTCAACCGCTACTTGTTTCAAGATCCCCCTCCTTTCTTAAATTGATATATAATTTGCCTATCATCAAATTCACCATTTAAAAATATATAATTCAGTGGCTTTTAGTATATTAATAAGAAACCTCAAAAGGAAACCCTGTATGTATTAATAATCACTCCCAATTATACCTTCCCCCAGCTCCTGGCAACTAGTATTCTCTAGTAATTGGCCTATTCTGGACATTTCAAATAAAAAGACACAACAGGAATGCTTCAGTTTTTGCTTGGACTACTACAACTGCCTCCAAAATCCATCTATCTCTCTCCAGAATCTGGCCTATAATCCATCTTCCACATGGCTATAAAACTGGCAAACCACATTTCTGATCATATCACTCAGCTGTATGAAATCCTCCACACTATCTCCCCATTACTTAAAGCAAAAATCCTATGGAACAAATCTTTTCCAGGGGTGGGTACCACTGGCAGGGGGCTAGGAAAAAGGAAAGGCAGAACAAAGGTGTGTATGTGGATGTATTTTGTATCCATATATGAAAAGATAAGAATGAAACCCATAGAAATTGTCCTAAGAAGAGAGGAGGAAGGAAGAGAGAAAACAAAAGAGGGGTGAACACATACATAAATATCACAATGTATACCCCTGTACAACTATATATGCTAATAAAATCATAAAATAAGTATTTTTTTTAAAAAGTCTATGGAACAGCATGAAAGAAGAGGAGAGGCAAAAACAGAAATGAAAGGTCCCCACCACACTTCCCAGAAATTGCTCCAAATGGACTAGGGTATCCTTCTTCCTCCATGCCTGGACTCTACTGTGTTCTGCTAAGCCCCTCTTTACAGACCAACGTCTTGGCAGGAAGTATTCTCCTCTCTCTCTCATGTACCTTCTATGATGATTTCTCCCATTCCCTCCTTCATAAAGTAATACTATATACCCATTATCCTATTGTGGCTTTATTACTTTATGTTAAAACTGAATGCTTCCATCACCTCATGACTTTCAGGCTTCAATGTCTCGTAAGTAAACAAATTAATTTCAGACTGTGGGCCTGAGTACCAAGGAAATGAGATAAGGAAACAGCTTGACATACCACATGAAACTTAAATTTTTTTACCCTGGTTTCTACCTTAGAGTGGTTTCCTCTGGCACTGGCCACATACTAACTCTGATTTAGATTATCCCCTCTGATAACTACAGTGTTCGCTTCTTTCTATGTTGTTATACTTGTGCCCCAGTTTCGTAAGAAGAGAACTCAGCTACTATTTAAAAGGACTTACTATGTATAAGCAATTATGTTAGGAGCTAAAAACAGAGCAAGATATGACATCTCTGTCCTAAAGCAACTCACATTTGGGGAGACAAACACAATGCTATAGGGAAGGAAGCATGCAGTAGGGAAAATTTAGTTTTCTGTAGCAAGATACAGTTTCCCATTCTGGCTAACTAGCCTTTTAGTAGCTATAAAACCTACAAATAAACTACAATCTAGAGACCTTAACCACAGACATGTTCAGAGCACTTAGTATTCTCACATGAATTTTACATTGGCCTCTACCTTTTAAAATCCTATGTTCTGCTTCTCCCTGGACTATAAGTAGATGTCACTATCTTACTAGAGTTTGTATTTTATAAAAGACTTTAAGGCTAATAAGTTATGCTTCAAACGAATACATTTTGAAACTACAAAGTTAAGAAGCTTTCAAATCTTTTGTAATTATAACCATAGCAATGAGCAGAAATTCTCACTTTCTTTTTTTTTTTATTTTCATTTTTTTATTATTCATATGTGCATACAATGCTTGGGTCATTTCTCCCCCCTGCCCCCACCCCCTCCCTTACCACTCACACCACCCCCTCCCTCTCCCCCCACCCCCTCGATATCCTGCAGAAACTATTTTCCCCTTATCTCTAATTTTGTTGAAGAGAGAGTATAAGCAATAATAGGAAGGAACAAGGGTTTTTGCTAGTTGAGATAAGGGTAGCTATACAGGGTGTTGACTCACATTAATTTCCTGTGCATGTGGTGTTACCTTCTAGGTTAATTCTTTTTGATCTAACCTTTTCTCTAGTTGCTGGTCCCCTTCTCCTATTGGCCTCAGTGGCTTTTCAGGTATCCACTTTAGTTTCTCTGCGTTGAGGGCAACAAATGCTAGATAATTTTTTAGGTGTCTTTTTTTTTTTTTTGGCAACACTGGGGCTTGAACTCAGGACCTCATGATTGTTAGGCAGGCACTCTTACCATGTGAACCACTCTACCAGTCCATTAGGTGTCTTACCTATCCTCATATCTCCCTTGGGTGCTCTCGCTTTTATCTTGTGATCAAAGTCCAATCCCCTTGTTGTGTTTGCCCTTGATCGAATGTCCGCATATGAGGGAGAACATACGAGTTTTGGTCTTTTGGGCCAGGCTAACCTCATTCAGAATTATGTTCTCCAATTCCATCAATTTACCAGCGAATGATAACATTTCGTTCTTCTTCATGGCTGCATAAAATTCCATTGTGTATAGATACCACATTTTCTTGATCCATTCGTCAGTAGTGGGGCATCTTGGCTGTTTCCATAACTTGGCTATTGTGAATAGTGCTGCAATAAACATGGGTGTGCAGGTGCCTCTGGAGTAACCTGTGTCACAGTCTTTTGGGTATATTTCCAAGAGTGGTATTGCTGGATCAAATGGTAGATCAATGTTTAGCTTTTTAAGTAGCTGCCAAATTTTTTTCCAGAGTGGTTGTACTAGTTTACATTCCCACCAACAGTGTAAGAGGGTTCCTTTTTCCCCGCATCCTCGCCAACACCTGTTGTTCGTGGTGTTGCTAATGATGACTATTCTAACAGGGGTGAAGTGGAATCTTAGTGTGGTTTTAATTTGCATTTCCTTTATTGCTAGAAATGGTGAGCATTTTTTTCATGTGTTTTTTGGCCATTTGAATTTCTTCTTTTGAGAAAGTTCTGTTTAGTTCACTTACCCATTTCTTTATTGGTTCATTAGTTTTGGGAGAATTTAGTTTTTTAAGTTCCCTATATATTCTGGTTATCAATCCTTTGTCTGATGTGTAGGTGGCAAATATTTTCTCCCAGTCTGTGGGTGTTCTCTTCAGTTTACAGACCATTTCTTTTGATGAGCAGAAGCTTTTTAGTTTTATGAAGTCCCATTTATCTATGCTATCTCTTAGTTGCTGTGCTGCTGGGGTTTCATTGAGAAAGTTCTTACCTATATCTACTAACTCAAGAGTAAGAAATTCTCACTTTCATATATATTCACTTTGTACCTCAAAAATACCAATTTTATCTTTCTAGGATTTGTCTAGCCAATTCTGCACAATCTACTATATACTATATACTAAAATGGAACTTCCTTAACAAAATCTAAATTATAGCTAATTGAAATCTACTCTTCAATAAGATTTCCTTCACAAAAGGGAACAGAAAGAACATGGACTGAAACAGACTAACCCTCATCCCTTTGTCACTTAGTCAACTTTAATCCAAAACTCAGAGTTAGCTCCATCGGAGATGGTATTGAAGAAAGGCCACTAAACCACAGCTTTAAAATAGGGAAACAAGATACAAAACTATTTTCTAAACATTATTAGCCTGACATAATCCCGATAGTAGGATTAGCAAAGGCTGATTTCAACTCAGTAGACAAAGAACGTGCTCTATAACTTATCTGACACATTTTTAAGTACACAATCATGAGTATGTAAAGCAACTTCTAGGCAATAATACTATCATTTTTACCTCAGAATACAATCAACAAAAGAGATGTTATAGATTCATTTTAACACATACCTCACTGAACCAAGCTTTCTCTCTCACTCCCTCGTTATTACTGAACCTAACTGGGCCTAACTGAGTGACAACAGGAGATGCAGAAAGGACATAGGATAGACAGACAGACAGACAGACAGAAAGTGGGATAAGGTGTATTGCGTGCTCGGGTGGAGACTCACAGCAGCCTCATTGCTTCTTTTCTCTATTATTCTCTTCATCTACTCTGCTTCTGTTCTCTATCTTTATTCTTTAGGGCCTTACTCCTTTATAGTTCTTTAAAACCTTGCTACTAAAGTGTTTCTTCTTTCCATTCTTTAAAATCTCACTTCTAAAGTCTTTTAAAACCTCTTTCCTTAGACTCACTCTGTCCCATGTTTTCGCTTAGATTTTCTTTAGCATAATCTCTCTTAAAGTCTTTGCCCCCAGACTTGCACTGTCTCCTGTTCTCTCTTTAGCTTCCTTAAAGTCTCAGTGCTCAGACTTTCACTGTCCTGTGTTCTCTTTAGCTTTCTTAAAATCTTAGCCCTCAGACTTGCTAGCAATTCCCCTTTAGCAATTCCCCTTCAGCAATTCTTTTCCCTTCAGCAATTTCCCTTCAGCCATTCATTTTCCCCCTTCAGCAATCTCCCTCCAGCAATCCTCCCTTCCAAAAGCCTCCCACATCCAAAAACCCAAAAAAGCCCAAAAGCCAAAAAATCAAAAAGCATCCTGTCCTCCTTCAGCGAGTCTTTTATACCCAGTGGTAAACAAGGAGGTGGAGCAACAGCTCTATTGTAACAACAGAAACCTGTGATCTACCTCTTTGAACATAAACAACTTAGGAAAAGC